ATTTAAGCCTGTGCTTCATTTCCATCTTTACGGATTTTGCAATTTCCTTTAACTGTGCAAGGAGGCAACAATTATCCGCATTCCATGAAAACACATGCTGTTCCTGATCACATCATTTCCACATTCCTGCTTTCTGCCCTGAGAGGATCAGTGATGGAAGTATTTCTGGAGAAGTCCTGCATTCAAAGCCTGACCTAGAAATAAATGTACTCATTCTGCAAAAGGTGTTTACTATTATGACCATCACAGTGTTATCGTCCTGTGAGAGCCATCCATCACTAATAAGTCAACTTTTTTTAAAGAAAAAACGCCGTTTTCTGCTTTGTGATGATACGCCTTTAAACTAATCTGAGAGTTTTTTTTCCAAATAGTTTACACATTGTAGGAAGTAGGAGAATGCTTTCACCATATGCCATACAACATCAACTACGTGCCCAATCTCAGCTAAACACATTCCACATTCCTGCACACTGTAAATATTTCTAGTCTTTTTATTACTCTTATAATTACTTGAATTAGCCACACTTGCTCCATATTTGTCTTGTAACGCTTATTGTCTAAAAAGTTGCTAAAGCTGTCAGAGAAAGGCGGCAGGGAAAAAGTGAAATAGTTGTTACTGAAATGTCGTGGAGTGGAAGTATAAAGCTGCATAAAATGGAAAAACTCAAGTAAAGTACAAGTACCTCAAATTTGTGCAATACTTGAGTAAATGTACTGAATTACTGGAACAGCATCATTGACGTCAGTGACCTGGGACTTAATTATTAATTCCAGTATTTAATATGATATTTAGCATCTGAATTTTTTCTACTTCTTATCACTGCAAACGACATTGTAATTAGACTGATTAAGGTAGATTTCTGTTTGAAGCCTGCAATCAAAATCATGCAGAACAAGTTTTATAAACAATAAAATACTGGACTGACTGACTGACTGCATGCACTGTTGGGTAATTTGATTCATAGCATAACCGTTTTATTTTATGCCTTGTATATAAACATCCGCTTTTTGTAAAGCCACTAAAGCTGTCAAATAAATGCAATGCAGAAAACATGGAATCATAGGAGTAGGAGTATAAAGAGTTGTAAAAATAAAGTATTAAAGTTAACCACAAATACTTTAAGCTGTTTTAAGCTCAGTGTGTTCATGTTGTTTTGCAAGAACTTGTCCTATGGGCAATTGTTCTCGTTAATATGACGGAGACATAAGCCAATAATGTCTCTCAGCAGAGACTGTATGCAAATATGTTCTGACATGCCAGAAGAAAACAAATGACAAGACTTGTATTGTGCACCTGTGACATTAACCCTGAGAGGAAGAATTAAGAATATGAGTCCAGATTCTTGCCTTTCTAGTTTTTACCTGCCGGAACACCGCAAACATGATCATTATCACAAACACTTCACCGCAAGTATCATGCACACACTTGTTTTAGAGGCTGTGTTGGTTCTTCTTGCAGACATGAGCATTTTGAAGTAAAAAGTTTTTTTCTGTTGTGCTATTTTTTTTCTGCTGCAGTGTGCATGTGACTGGAAGAAGAGTTAATTAGTTCAAGTTATACAATAATAACAAACCTTTTTTTGTGATGTACTTTCTGTACTTATTATGTAATAGTTCCTTACCATTATTTGCATATTGTGCTGCAGAAGTGCTGACATGAAGATGGACTGTCTAGACACGTTTCTTTCCCAAGGGGGACTATAAATCTGAAAATCACAGGAAAAAAAAGACTATAGAACATATAGAGATTTATTGTACTGTCAGGACTTGCAGACAGAAAGTACATTGTTCTTGCATCAAGTATACGCCTATATAGTGCCAGTGGTACTTACATGTTCACTCCCTCTGCTCTGTGCCAAGGAGAACTGCTTCTGGTTGATCAGTGTGAGAACTGGGTTTTAATCCTGCAGAAACTGATCCAGCACAGAAAAAGATATAATCAATCCCTTATTTTAGTCAACTGTAATAATGCTGCTAATGCTCTGGTCAACACACTGATTATGTTTTCAAAAATTGCAATGGCCACTAAAAATGTGTGCAGGTGCAAAGGAGGAAAAAGTATTCAAAAACTTTGGTTGACGTGTCAACACAGTATTGTAAAAATACTCCCTTAAAAGTAAAAGTCCTGCATGAAAAATCCTACTTAATTGAAGTGTTAGCAGCAAAATGTTGGTAAAATATTAGCAAAAGTACTAGTTTGGTCCCTCTGACTGACATATCATTATATGCAGTGCTTAACAAATTTATTAGACCACCTATCTAATTTAGGGACAATCCAGTATCATGAAATACTTTAATGCGCAGTCAGCTCTCAGTGTTTTACCATTTTTAACAGGAATGAGAAATTTCAAACTAGGGATGCACGATATATCGGCGACCACATTGGTATCGGCCAATATTTGTGTTTTTCCCGATACATCAGTATCAAATTTAGCCGATGTGATGATGATTGTCCAACATTAGCGCCTTCGTCTCTACGTTTGATATTGCTTCTATTTCACAGATGTCTGTATTTAAATGGACCTGGACTTGAACATTAAATATGTTAAAATATGTTTAAATATGTTTTACTTTTGTTGCGTGATAAAGAAGACTATGTGATCTATTTTGGTATGGGCTTCGTTTCAATAGTTTTTCCGTTGTCACGGTGCTTACTTATACTCATTTTTTGATGTGAACAAAAATTTAATATCGACATAGGTGATATCGGTTATCGGCGATATCAGAAATCTCAATATCAGATATCAGTATCGGCCAGAAATTTGAATATTGTGCATCACTATTTTAAACCGAATTCACCTTTTTATACCCAAACTTGAGCCGGCTCACTCGACTTCTGTGAGTAGTCAGAAATTATTCCAGCATAACTTTAAACCACTAAAACTACATTTTCTGTTCAGGAATGCAAGTAAATAACTATAATTAATCTTAATCAAGAAATAATAATGTTTTTTCATTTGTTTTTATAAAACAGTAAATCTGAAAATTTACAGATTGTAATAATAATAATAATAATAATAATAAATTGCTATTATTATTACTGGCGACCTCTCCAGGGTGCCCCCTGCCTTTGCCCTAAGTCAGCTGGGATAGGCTCCTGTTAACTATGACAGAAACATAAAAAATGTGCATTTCAATGTCTTGTTATGTGATCTATTGTGTAAAATGTTCTTGTTTAAAGTAAAAATAAACCGATAAATGTAGTAGAGTAGAAATTATGATGTGTCCCACTGAAATGTTGAGGAGTGGGAGAAGTGAGACTGTAAGGGAGCATTTTTTTGTTGTTGTTTTCGTTGTTTATTGTCTTTCAGAGATATTTCACAGGGCTGTTTGTTTTTATGTTTTCTTTGCTTTGGGTGTTCCCGTTTTTGGGTTCAACCAGCAGACGTGTTTTATTTTATTCATCTGTTCAGCCCAGTCTTGTGCAGATGTCTTAATACACGTCTTTCATTCATTTCTCTTATCATGTCACATGTTTTTATTCTTGCTTCTAAACGCTCTGACTGACATGTAACTTGTCTTTCTTCTACATGTGCGTGACAGTTCTTGGGAACAAATCTTGCCAGGGGCAGTTTCAGTAATCCCACCAACACAGTGTGGAACAAACATGAATTCCCCACATGCTTAAAGTCAGTATTTAGAGAAATAACTGAGCTGAGCAGCAGCTTGTCCCAACTGTTTTACAAGATTCAGAACTCAGTGAGTGACATGGCAGGAACATGTGATGTACATTGCTTTGACTAGATTTTATCACAATTGTAGCTCACAAACACACACCAGCACTTCAAAAACTAAACTAAATCAGCTTAAATACTACAATAATATGACTGCAAATCTCACATTTTTACTGTTAATACCTGAAGGCTTTTTCTGTTTGAATTCAGCTCCCAAACATGAATTTGCTCTCTTTTCTTTTTTAAATCAATACGGAGAAAGAGGAGACAATTATTTTTCTTCCGTGTTATTACGACTTTGCTCTGAGCAAGTGAGCAAATAATTTATGGTAAATTATTTAGGGGTGTGTCCTAACCACAGGTTTGATTTGATTAGCTGTTATTTCTGTCTCTCTTCAGATGTCCTTATTATGTAATAAAGGCAACGAAAGCTTCAGGAAAATAATGTTTAAAAATTATTTGAGGGGCAATTTTAAAATAAAATGTTCACGAGACATGATACCGAAAGTCATCAGCAATTAAGATTAAGGATGATTGTGCAGAAAATAACCAGTTAGAGGTAACGCTAATCCTTTACAGTTCTTTTCAAATAAAAGATAGATTTAACATGTCAGTTTAGCAGCTGTTTAGTCATCAGCGACGTTTTTTTTGTTTGTTTTTTTTTGCCTTAAATGACCATGAAACATGTAAAAACACAAGTTTATGCAGTAAATATAGCAGCAGAAAAAAAAATATTGCCATTAACTCCCAAATCCATAATTATTTTCATATTTTTTTCCAGTGCCACAGTGTATGCAATATAACAAAACAAGTGCAAGTGCAAGTGCACAGTAAAAACAGAAAAATTATTGGAACGTGTGAGATTTTCACCTCTGGTCATTGTCTGAGAGTGAACAAGTGCTTTTGTTTGCCTTTGGGCAAAATAAAGACTCAGTGGAGCTTTAGGAGGTTTGACATGACAGCAGACTAAGAGGATGTCAGGTGTCATTTCTCTGTCATAAATTCAAGAGGAAAACCGGTTTTCTTGTCCACCATGGGCCCCTCAGCTCCCTCTCATTACAGGTTTGCTCCATCCCCGGGGGCAACTGGCAACATTCTTATGTAAGGCAGTGCGACTATAAGAGAGGGTCTCTCTGCTGCACAGATCAGACTTGGCAATTCCAAGTTTCCTCTCTTGCAAAGGAGCATCTGTTGGTTGTCGCCACCTCAAGGGTAATTATCTCCGTTCATCCCTGAAACGGCTTTTGCATCTCAAATTTGACTGAGAATTCTCAGTTCATCTTTCTTTATCCATCTTGTTTCTCAGGGTCTGTGCCAGTGGTCAACATGTCTGAATCTGGAACCTGCACCTCTATCATCAACCTGCGCTACCAGGATGGCAGTGAGGGAAGCTCTTCCAACCCTGCCAAGTTCAAAAACCAGGACTATGCGCAGCTGAAAGATAACTGCCTCCGCAGAAGACGACAGTTTGTGGACAACACCTTCCCACCTAACAATCGTTCTCTGGGTGACCTGCCTAGTTTGACCAGTTGGCAGGAGGATGACGTGGAGTGGCTTCGACCAGCAGTAAAATACTACTTTGTCATCCTTATGTCAACTTAATGTCAATAGATATTAATATATGTGCAGCATAGTCACACACATGCTTTTTACATGCTTGTCTGCAGTAGATTTATTTCCTTTATCATCTTGTCCAGGACATCCTTAAAGCGCAAAACATCAGTGATGAGCCCACTTTCTGCGTGAAAGGAGCTTCAAGGTTCGACTTTGGTCAAGGCAGCGTGGGTAAGAGTGATTTTTGGCTTGTAGCAAAAGACAACCAAAACTTAACAACTTACCTAGCTGAAAATGTGAACTATGCTCCTTATTTTCCAGGTAACTGCTGGTTTCTGGCTGCAATTTCCTCACTGACTTTCCAAAAGCGCCTGATGGCCCAAGTCGTGCCTATGGACCAGTCCTTCAGCAACTATGCAGGAATCTTTCACTTCAGGGTAAAGGGATTAAAAACATACAAGTGTGGTAAAATGTTACAGTACATCTGCATAAAAGCATTGTCATCAGTTCTTACTTGTTCTCTTTGTTTCAGTTCTGGAGGTTCGGCAAGTGGGTGGATGTTGTCATTGACGACTATCTGCCGACATACAACAAGCAGCTGCTGTCTGTGCACTGCAAAGGTGGAAACGAGTTCTGGGTTCCTCTGCTGGAGAAAGCCTACGCCAAGTACGTCACCATGTCACACACCCTCAGATCAAAGAGTTTAGAAGTTGTGAGAATCAAGACAACTTTTTATTTTTTTTTCATCTGTCTCCCTCAGAGTGTGCGGCACCTATGCTGACATGACTGCCGGGCTGCCATCAGAGGCCTGCAAGGATTTCTCTGGAGGTGTGAGCATGACTTACAAACTCAGAGAGGAACACACCTCAGGCCATGATGACCAGCTGTGGCTTCAGCTAGGCAGAGCCACCGGCTGCAAGTCCATGGTTTGCTGCGGGACTCCCCCAAAAGGAGTAAGAACGACATTCCTAAAGGTTTTTTTTTTTTTTTTTGAAATTCAGCTTTTAAATGACCTGTTCTGCCTGTTTCAGAATTCGAACGCCAACACCATTGGACACACTGGATTGGTGGATTCCCATGCCTACTCTGTCACAGGAGTCACTGAGGTAAAGTGCATCACAGGAATGTCATTGCAGCAAGATTTTTTCAGCGTTGACTTTGCAAAAGGTTTGATTTCTTTTTTTTTTCTCATTCCACTTAAGGTGAAGTACTACGGCTCCACGGTGAGGCTGGTGCGAGTCATGAACCCCTGGGGCAAGCAAGAGTGGCAAGGAGACTGGAGTGACAAGTATGTTTTGTTCTTACATCCAAAAAAAAGACTGACTTCCGGTCCGTTTCTCTGTGTTGGATTGTGTCACTAATTTATTTCAAACTTGTGCTCAGGTCAGATTTGTGGGACAGAGTGAGGCCAGAAGATCGCGAGAAGTGCGCCGAACGTGAGGATGGAGAGTTCTGGTAAATGAGTTCAACTAAAGTGTTTTTGTGTAAATCATCACTGCTTGCTAGGTGCACATTTGCAAATTGCTAGGTTTACTGGATCACCATCTCTCAAACAGCGAGGCAGTGCTAAACCAAGTGTGTGCATGTTGCTCCTTGTCGTAAAAGCATTGCTCCATAGCAGTACAGGTGGTCAAAAACCTCCCTTTAAACGGCAAGGCCTGATATTGAATTAACACAAGAAAACATTCTGTAATTTTTTTCTTCCCCCATCTGTTTCTTGCCAGGATGAAGTTGGAGGACTTCTGCTACTATTTCACTATGGCATCCATCAGCTGTGAGAATCCCAACTTCCTCGACGGTGACCTTGACGTCCAGTGGCAGTGCATGATTTATGATGGCAGCTGGGTGGCAGGGAGATCCGCAGGTGGCAACGTGAACAACTGTGAGCCCAGTTTCATTCTTTTACCTTCAAATTTTGCAACAAGGACAACGTTGTATCTTTGTTTATTGTATGTGCAATCACAGAAACCAGCACACTGTCTCTAAAAATGCCATCTGCATTGTTTATGTCTTTTTCCACCTGCAGCCACCTTTTCATCAAACCCTCAGTACCGAATCGAGGTGTCCATTATTGACAAGCAGGAGAAAGCAGACAAAAACATCTTGCTTTCTCTGATGCAGAAACCTCAGCAGGAGTATCGCAAAAAGATCAGATACTACCCAGTTGGACTCACCCTCTACAAGGCATGCATTCTGTATTTGTTGGACACAAAATGCACATTAGAAACACATTAATTAGATATTACTTTTGGAGCTGTGTTTCATTCAAATTATTTCTGAGATTTCTAACTGATTTGACAACTATATAATAACATTTTCTGTCTCTCATTTAACAGATTCCAGCAGGGGTAAGCACACACCACTACAAATACCACACTTTCACAAAATTCCACATTCACATTTTTTTAATAATGCACATTGATGCTCAGGAAACAATGTCATTATGTTAAACAAGTTTCACAATCCTTACAGACCCCAGCCGGACGTCTTAGATCCTCCTTCTTTAGAAGGAACAGGCCTATTAAGAGATCCCAGAGTTACAGCTCTGGAAGGGAGCTGATTGAGCTCCACAGTCTGGAGCCTGGAGAGTACGTGATCATCCCCTCCACCATGAAGGCCTACATGACTGCAGATTTTGTTCTCAGCGTCTACACCAAGTCTGATGCCAAGATCACGTAAATACTTACTTTAACATCTCACCAATGAAGAGTTTTATTCCAAGAATTGGGTGCATGTTTGGATATCTGATGCTTTCTGCTCTGCATCCAGTCCCCACGATGAAGATGATGATGAGCACGACCACGACCACGACCACGACCACGACCATGACCATGACCATGACGACAACAAAGAGGAAGATAATCGTATTCTTCCTGAGGTAAGAAATAATAGACTGTAGTGGATACTTCAACTTTGTCGACTTCAGAGCCTCGGCCACAGATGTTGGTGATGACCTGATTCACTTTGTCCTCCCCTCAAGATCCCTGACAAGCCCAAAGAGGAAGAAGAGAACACTGACGATGATCCCAGCCGTGCCATGTTCAGACGCTATGCTGATCAGGTGTGCTATTTTTTCTGTTTTGTCTTCAAACCTTTCTCTGTCTCTGTGTTGCTTTCTGTTAATCACAGTTTGCGCTCTCTTGTCAGTACGGTCAGCTGAGTGCCAGACAGCTCCGGAAGCTCCTGAATGACCGCTTCCCTCACGGTGAGTTGATTTATATCATGTGTGCCTTCCAAATCTTCATTTATTTGCTGACTCAAAGTGATAAAACCATCTTGTTTTTTTTTTCCTATGTGGACCACAGGGACTCGGTATGGCTTCAGTTTGGACGGCTGCAGGAGCATGATCGCCTCAGTGGATGTATGTATAAAATAATGAAATGTGTTCTTGATATCTTGCACATCACCAGAAATGACCATACCAATAGTTTGTCATGTTTTTGCTGAGTTGTCCTTAATGTGCACAGCTTGACCAACGCATGGGGATGTCCTTCACTGAGTTTTCAATTCTCTGGAAGAAGATCAACGAATTCAAGGTAATGCAGCAAATACAGGCATGATTGAGTTAGTGTTTCTAAACATAAAAAAATACACATTTAACCTGCTCTTAGTTTCTAAATGTAGCCTAATCTTTCTTGCAGAAAACCTTCAATCGCTATGATACAAATGGCAACGGATCCCTGACTGAAGCTGAGCTCCAGAGGGCCATTGAGGGCTCAGGTAACATGGTTCATCCTTGCATTTAAACTTAAATATAATAAAACATTTGCCTCAACTCAAGGGGAACTCGCTTCATATTCAGAATCATAACTCCAGCATTTTCTCCTTGTGTCCGTGCCAGGAATAACACTGGACATGGTCCTGATCAAGCTGCTGGTCTTCCGCTTCTCAGACTTGTCATCCACCTCCTTGGAGAACTTCATTTCTCTCATGTTCCGTCTGGAGAAGATGTCAAGTGAGTGACATGGAAACCACAGATCATATCGCTTAATAAAAAAAACAAAACACACACACACACTGCAGAAAAAAAGGCTCTTATTTGTTCATAATGTAAAACTAAATGTGGTGTGGTTTCCTTACAGACGCCTTCAAGGACAGATCATCTGATGGAGTGATCCGCCTGAGATGGGATGAGGCAAGTTTATTTCCATCTTTATTCTTTTTTTTTTTTTGTTTCAGGATATTCAACTCACAAAAATAACATGAATGAAATATTCACGCCATGTGCCTACATAAGAGCAGCAATAGTCCTATCATATAGATTTTCTATTTACCATTATGTGTAAGTCATTGTAGATATATGTGCTATATTTGTGGAGTCAAAAGTACATGATTTTTTTATCTGAAATTAATAACTTCTTACTTCAGACTGCTGTATTGTGGTCTGTTGTTATCACTAAAACAACAGACGCTAGTAATTCTAAAATCTGCCTTTTCTTTTGTTTCAGTGGAGCAACATCTCCATGTACAACTAAACCAAATGTGACAACAGGAGACACGCAAGAGAAGATTCCAGCAATCTAACAATGCTTTGACTGGAATTGATGTCTTCCTGCATAAACCTCATGAAGCAGAAGCACGTTTTTGTGATCAAGGAATCGCTATGTAATAAACGTCACCTGCTAAATAGCCTTCTGATATTGTCATTCTTGTTCACATTTTAACACAAAATCAAAAAATGAATAACTGTGGACCAGAAATGATTTTATTAATACTCGCCACTGACTACATCAGACAGATACAAAAAGTGAATAAACACAACATCACTGGTTCACAAGTCATTCCACACTCATCCGTCTTCCCAATTAAGCAATAAGATAAAATTACGTATTTACAGTCATTCCTGTGTGTGATGATATAAGAGGCTCCCTGGCAAAACTCTCATATTTACAGGCCAGCATTCTTATTTCAGAACATTAGATCAAAAATCCACAAAAAAAAGGAGCATGAGCACACTCTGCTGTTTCAATCAGCCCACTGTAGTGTACAGAGGAGCCAGTGGTTACAGGATCGGGTTGGTAATGCTCTATACTTGTATCTAAAACAAGTATTGTCAGCTTATTTCTCTGTGCTCTACTTTTGTCCAGAAATCAATAAGCCACACCGCTGCAGAAGAGGACATGTTCTTTCAGTACAATGAAGATGAACATTGTAGTTAATGATTTGTAAATCCAAAATGTCCTAGTGCTGTAAACTGGTGCACCAAGTGTGTAACATAATCCCCAACAAATGCTCTATGTTTCCTCCAGGAGAGCAGGTCGGAAAGTACGGAAAAAGAAACTTGTTACTCTGTCGTTTTAAGGGATTTTTCGTAAAACAAAATGTAAAATCATAATAATCTTATTGTCTAAATTGAGATAAAAGGTTGAGTGCAATGTTGAGTTGTTTTCATCACACGCTGCACAACTCTCAGTCCTCCTCTCTCTCGATGTAGCTCTTAGATGCCGAGCGTGCCATCTGCCTGGCCATGTACCTCTCTCTGGCCGAACTCACAGCCTGATCCGTGCTGCGCTTTGCGAACTTGCTCACCTTCTCCTCCGTTTCCTCTTTCTCCTCACCCTCCTTTTTCTGTTCATCCTCTTTATCCTTTGTGCGTTCGCCGACAGCTTCCTTCTTTTCTGGATCTTTCTCCTCCCTCTTCACTGGCTCCTTCCTTCGTTCCTTCTCTTCTTCCAGATGTCTGTCCTTCCGCTTGTCTTCATCTGGATACTTCCTCTTCTCTCTTTCCCCATTCTTATCCCGCTCTCTGTCTTTGGGGCTCCGCTCCCTCCTCCCGTGTCTATCTTCCCTCTCTGCATCTCCCCTGCTTCTACCTCTGTCATCTTCTCTGCCTCGGTCTCGATCTCTGTCTTTCCTTCTATCCCTGTCACTTCTTCTTTCTGAGTGTCTGTCATCTCTTTCTCTTCCCCTGTCTCTGTTTCTGTCTCTTTCCCGATCTCTGTCCCTTCCTCTGTCTCTTTCTTGGTCTCTGTGACTCTTCTTATGTCTGTCTCTCTCCTTCTCTCTTTCCTTTTCCTTGTCTTCTCCGCTTCCCGATGATGGCGACCTCTGTCTGTACTGGCGTTTTGAATGTCCATAGCCACCACCAGGCTTACTAAAGCCAGACTTCTGCTCATGTCCCTCCTCGCTGTCACTACATGAACTTGGGATATTGTCATGGGTTGTAGGTGAGGGAGCAGGTGAAATCCTTTCTGTGTCTTTTGAAACCACTGAGGTTTGAGTTCTGTGGAAGAAGGACCAGAGATACGATTAAAGACTAGCTTTGAAAAATATGTGTCCTTGTTGTGATGATAAATGTGAAAGTAATGAGTTAAAACTTACTTGTTTGCTGAGCAATCTGGTATTGCTTCCTCTCCTACAGTCTGATTCAGCAGGTGCCGGTAGAAGCCGCTCAAGTCTTTCTGTTTCTTCACGTCCAGAGCAGCTACGCAAACAAAAATAATTCAAACATTAATTTATATTGTCCACATTTTCCACAACATTTCTTCGAGTCATGCTTAGAGAGCACTAATAAAGAAGATACATATTGGCAGTATAAAATATACTAAAGGATCTCAAGGAGTCAAGTTATGTTCCTTAAAAATATCTGAAAGACCATTACAGTATTTTGAGACTGTCAGCACACATTGTTTTTACAATATCCAGAATGCTTTGACACTACAGAAAGATGCTTTAGCCATATCTGACATTCATATGTCATTAGATATATAACTTAGAACGCAATCTTATGTGGAGCCTAAAAACTGTTGAAAAGTATCACTCTAACCTTCTATCTCTGCTTGTCTCTTCTCTCTCTCCTCTTCCTCCTTCTGCTCCTGTAGTTTTTGTCTATAGGCGGAGGTAACGTAAGCTTCTTTGTCAGCAAACTGCTCTCCCTCTGCCTCTCTCTCCTTCTGAATCTTCCTCTCTTCTCTTCGTTCTTGTTCTTTCTTTCGGTCCTCGACTGCCTTCATTAACTGGTGGATATATTTGGGCTGTAACAAAGAAACACAGACAAAAAAAAGAAATTAAGTTATTGTTCACATCATAGTTTAGGCTCATATTTTGCTTGTACACCAAAAGAGTGTCAGAAGGTCAACTTAACCACAGTACAGACTCTTTTTAACATTACAGCTGTGTTAGTTTCCAAATGCAGCCGTACAAGTATTCAATATAAATGAGAATACCCTTTTGTCAGCTCCTCCCAGGACTTTTTTGTTGCTTTCAAGTCTCTGTTTTTGGATGTCATCGTACACGGCATCATAGTCATATACAGTGCTGTCCTGTTCCAGGGCCTTCTGCATTTCCAAACGTGTCTTTGGACAGACAGAGAGCCAAAGAAAGATTAAAGATCAGAGAAATGCAAATCACAGAGTAAAATTGTTATAATATTAAATAGAATTAAAACACATGAAATATTTTGATTATTTCTCTTACTTGCTTCATCATCTTCTTTTTGATAGCCTCTCTCTGAAGACTTTCCCCAACTGAGGTCTGAGAAACAAAACAGACCAAAACATATTCCACACATATGAAGAGAAGTCTACTCAAGAGTCAGATGATAACTGGTATTTAAGGAGTTATTTTTTTTTTAATTTACAGAAATCTGTTCAGTTAACGTAACAGTGAAAATACTTGAATCAAATGCAATGGCTGCTGATGGATAATGAACAAAATCTATTGCCCTGTTTATAACCCACCTCATCATCAGAGTCATCCCCGAACACTGACGGTTTCTGCAAGGCTGCAGTCTTTGATGCTCCTTTCTTCTGTGGCAAGATCAGCCCGTACCTGAAGACAATCAGGACACAAGATTTCTTAAACTCTGTCCTGTGTTTCACATGAAAACCTTCAACAAGTATAATTCACCAAGAAAAGTGGCATTGCAAGTTAAAGGCGTTGGATCTGACACCCAAACCAAATCAGCCAAATGAATCAACAGCATATGTTTCCAGCAATCATAACCTTCACAAGCTTTTTATATAATTGTATTTAGAGTTTATCTTACAAATTGACAACCCAGTTAGTACCAGAGCACTACACATTCCAAATGCTATATGGCAGCAATTTGCACAAATCTAACTCTACCTTGCCTTCTATTTTCTAGTGGCATGACATGCGACATTTATACGATGGTTTTACCAGACCGTACAGTATATAGCTGACTTTCTAGACTTCAGTTTACTTGGCATAGTGCAATATGTAATGCACCAAAAACAGAAACGAGCTTAAAACCATTAAGAAATTAACCATAACAGCTGCATTTTTCAATGATCAATGATTGCTACAAAAGTTTGTTACGTCTCCCTGTGAACATGCAGTTGGTAAATTGTGGAGGAATTTTAGACATATGTGGCAAGTGCGAAAAAAGTGAAGTTTTCAAGGATTATGCAAACAAAACCGACCAAAGCGAGGATTGCATATCGTTAGCTAGCTAGCTAGCTGCCGTACAGGCTGAAATGGGGGCACCTCTGTTTTTACGAATAAACCTCTGTTTCAATACTGAGGCTGCTACGATGAATTAAGTCATTAATATGACTCAAACTCCAACCCCACTCAAGAGGCACAGGTGCCTCTCCTTGTTAATCACACTGTCATATACACGTTAGCATGTTGGCAACTTACTGTTTTGTAGGGACCGCCATCTTGCTCTGCTGACTGTGGACGAGAGCGGCAGATTCGACATCAACGTTTTCGTAACTTTATACACAAAAGTTTCAATATTTCACATTTTGGCGCCGATAAAAAAATATCTATATTTTTGTTGGCACTACTATTTTTTTTCTTTTCACTAAATATGTATTCGTCTGCCTGTGGCGAATGTATGGGCTCTCATTAAACGCGTGAAAGCACCAGACGAATGAACAAAAACGCGATTTACCGTCAGAGACTGTGTTTACCACTGATTTATGTGATATTTGGGTTGTAGTAAAATAACTACACCTTCATATTAAAAGATACACAGAGGCTTATGCCAACCGTTGAAACGCTTTATTTGAAGAGGAATTGCGTTTATTGTGGTCACCAACAGATGGTGACATTGCTTCAGCTTGTAACTCTGAGACTTAAGAAATATAATTATCCACACAACAAACAGAGCAACGACAGTGTGACTCTCTTCATACTGAGCATGTTTTTGGCATGTCTCATTGAAGCATGCATCTTTTTGAGGTTTGAGCAGATAAATCAAAGAGTGATTTTCTCTTTCAGGACTGCCGAGTTTGTTTGTTTTAAATTACTTTTATATTTCTGCTATTCTGCTAGTCATCCTGTGTCAATGAAGAGATCCTGACCTCCAGATTTGAAACAAGTCTGACTTTTTATCACCACAATGACCAGGAACTAAAGTTTACAGAAGATTTATTTTGATTCTTTCTCTGTGATCACACATCATATTAAATTATGAAAGTGCTTTATGGATGTAAAAGATTTGTTATTAAAAATGGTGACTATAATGGAAAATGTCTGTAAGAATAAATATATTTTAGCTGCTCAAAATACACTAAAAATAGTGTAATTCTATGGACATACAATGTAATAGGAACAAATTATTGTGTAAAACTACAGATTTTTTGTGGACGTTATTTACAGTTGTGGCCTTTTTTTATAGGGGTGGTGGGTGTTAGCATGTAAATGAATACTGTTTATCTGTGATTTCACAAAACTGGAAAAATCAGTATAATAACTAATTGTTTAAAAAAAAAAAAAAAAAAAAAAAGCAATGCAGTTAAAACTGTTAATACATTTTTATTTTTTACAGTGTAGCACAAACAACCGCCTCACATCTCATTTGATTTGCTCGGGTCATTTGTATATTTCCACTGGTGTCAGCTGCTCTCTTCTAAACCTTTGTAGTAACGTATTCTGTTAAGTAAGATCAAAGAGCACAAGGCTCACCTGTGATTAAAACTGCAGCTTTGAATCCTCACTGCCTTCTCTGAGTGACTCTAAATCCAAACACCATTATCTCTGTCGTAATCTGCATCTCATCTCCTCTCTGGCTTCACTGCTAATCCCTCTGGTACAAACAGAACAACCAAGGCTGCCTGATGGATGAATGGATGGAGTGGTGACAGAATGAACCATGGAGTGACTGGATAACACAGGTAGACTGACAGATGTATGTAAAGAAAAAAGTGCCAGAGAGACACTGTAAGTGATAAAGCCAGGGTGAGAAGCTGAAAAAATATTGTTTGGATACAAATACTCTCTTATGTTTGTGCAATGATGTAAAAATCAAATACACACAAGCACACAAGGAAAGTCGATTTGAATTTATGAGTACTGTTACTGGTTGACTTCAGGCCTCTGAAGCACTGCTTACATGAGAGAGGAACCAGGTTTTACACCAGCTGTAATAATAGTTGTATTCATTGTGCTATGCATCTGTGCATACCTGTATGAATTGGTATCTTTGCTGTGTTACATGTACTGATGACACACATTTTAGTACGTGGTTTGCGACAGGCTATGGTTGCTGCTATCCTTGATCTGTGCCCTCAGGCGGTGAAGATAACAGTGTAGCAGTACAGGTTCAGACAGGTCGGCTACACCTCAAGAGTCATGAAACATCTCCTGACGTTACACCCACTTCACGGAAGCTCATATGCATGTGCAGAAAAGTTCATATGACTACTGATTAGAAACTGATAGGTGGGCAGGTGCCCTTCTTTACTGAAATACAGCCTTAAATTGAATGACCATAGGTTTAGAATGTCTTAAACCAAGACATGAAAATAAAAATGATGCAAATGGATAGTGCACAATCAACCTAAAAAAAACAACACACACATTGCATTTTCTCCTGCTTTTATTTTATGCTCAGAGTCTTAGTGCCTTGAACTCAAGTTTGAATAAACTGTATTTAGAAGAAACTGCTTTGATCTGGGCTGTGGTGATATCACATATTACTTATAAATAAAAACAAAAAAATAAGCAATAAGTACTTGCTATGGCTTCAATATAAACAAAGCTTAACATTTTCCAGTTAAACTTGGAAGCTGGTTTGTGTCATAAGGTTTTGGAGTGGCTTGGTAAAGTTTACTGGGTAACATAACTACTAAGGCACTGCAGCCTAAGTATGTATTTATTGAGTTGATGGTATGGATAGTAAATACATGTAAATACAGTCTTATAAAAGTCATCATGCATACTAGGGCATGAATAAAAATCCAATTGATTTCCACGCATCAACATAATTTTAGACACCAGTTGAACAATCTAGGCTGCTGTTAGTAAGCCTATAATGTCTACTGTGACTGTTGGGAAATATTCAAAGACTGAAAAAAATAACAGAGAGAATGTCATCTGTATTATCTTGGGTTGGGCTTGAAGACTTCAAATTTTTAATGAAAAGCCAAGGTTACAAACTGAAAATGCAAAGTTTGAAAGATACAAGCATGCACAGCACCAGGCTGCAGAGGCTGAGCAGTTGCATCATGGGCAATGTAGGACCCATTGAGTCTGAAGTCTAGTCAGTACTACTGGCTAAAATGTATTTTTATTATAGCCTCTGCTGCACCAGTTTGACCACACTTTTTAAAAATTGGCTGTCACATGCCACTAGAACAAGCCCGTATTACATTTCTGGAGTATGTTAAGTTTATTGTTCATATATTGTGATTTTATTTGTTGTAAGTTGTCTGCCTGTTCCTCCTTGACTACATGTCGCCAGTACTTCAGTAACAGCTGCAATGTTGTTTGACTGACAGATATGACTCTTCGCTGCTTTGTTTACCTCCAGCACACATACGGTTAATCGGGATTGACAAGCTAAGGGTAGTTGCGCATGCGCAGGTGGCGCTGACAGAGGAAACAGCCGGGGAGTAGTCAAACAGTCCACGACCAGAGAGAAAGAGAGGGGAAAAAGCCGAGAGAAGACCAAGAACTCAGGTTCAGCTGGGGTTTCGCCCTCTCAAGACCATTATGCTCGTCTCGCCGCCGTCGCTTCCTCTCAGGTGTCCGCTTCCCGGTCGCTGAATGGCGCTGGTTACCGTGCAGCGTTCACCGACCCCCAGCACCAGCTCCAGCCCCTGTGTTTCGGTAAGAGCCGCTTTTCTTGAACCCTCCTCCACTACCACCTCCACCGGCACCAAAACCAAATCTCTGTGCTGTCGAAGGCGACTTGCGGCTTCATTTCCGCTGTCTTTTTGTCGGCTGCTCACTGTCATCAAGTGCCTTGCCTTTGTACTCGTGCGCATGCGTGAAACATAGCTGCTCATCATTTTTAGTTCGTCTGTCAGCGTTGCTGCTAAGTTAACCTGCTCGAAAATGTTGTGTCCCTGCTGTCCACATAGACAACACTGTTAGCTGGTGAGGAAATGGCAGTTTCCCCTTCTGATTTAATGGTTTCTACTGTTTACACGGTCCCCGTGTGCACATTTCCGCTTGTGTTAAGGTTCAGCTGGCAGTTAGCTACTTTACAATGTCAGAAAAACTCCTGACTTTCATCGTCTGTGTGCTGAATAATAGCTGGACTTTCCCATTCATCTGTGTTACAGAAATATACACAGCTAACTTTTCAAAAGTTTGTAGTTCTAGTATTGTGCTTTAACAAGCCACCAAGAAGTATGTCGTTCACCTCCGGTCATAATAAGCGCCTTGTGACACACATGTATGCTGGTATTTACTCCTACATGACTGCTGTGTGCTGCCTTGTTATGTAAACGAGGTTGTGGACGCGTGTCTTTCTCTTTGTCTCTTGTTGTCTGTCTCCTCCCCAGACTGTCTGTCGGTCTGCATATTTCCTACCTGTCTGCCTCTCTCTTCCTGTCTTTCTTTCTCTCTCTCTCTCTCTCTCTCTCTCTGTGTCTGGTGAAGACAGGAGTGTGGCCATGCAAAGCAGAGGAGCAGGTGTTTTCTGCTGCTGCTGTTGTCTCTGTTCACCTTCTATCTACAGAAGCAGGGAACCCCATCAGCCAGACAGACAGAGGAAGTGATATCAAGCAGGCACTCTCGGTTCAGCATTCAAATGTTACTCTCGGTCTCCTGAACACATCTGCATACACTTCCTGTGTCAGTGCTGCTGTGTTTACCATTGACAGCATTGTTTTAACCAGAGTGGAGCAGTTCGTGTGATATTATGTTGGCGGAATGCTTTTTCAGGGTACATACTAATACCAGGGAAACTAATACAAGGAGACCAATAACTGATAGTTGGAGCCAATGTACATTTAGTTACAAATTACATTTTTGACGTCATCATTTATAGTATCATAAACTCCACCACAAAACTTCATTGAATGCCTTTGTTTGTTCATATTTTGCATTGGGGTTTTCACTTTTTTCCCCCAGATGTGATCCCAGACTGTTAACATTTCCCTAGAAAGTACAGTTGCGCAGTGCACACTTTAAGTACACTAAAGCCATTAAATCCAATGTATATGCTTGATAATTAAATAAGTCTGCAGTGCATTAAGAGAAAATGGCTTGCATCCAAGCTGCTCCTTTATATTATTATTAATTTACAAAATAACAGAGTTACCAAACTTAGCACAATTGCTTCGGTTAGGATTGTTTTTGTTTTTTCAACAAAATCAGCTATCTTTGTCTTTGTCTTATCACAATTCTATTTAGTGCTGCATTATAACAGTAAAACTACGACACCCAAAATGAGTAATGTAATCACAATTCTACTTTGAATTTCGCAGTCATAACAAATAACAATAACAGTTTTGCTTAGGTCAGCATTGTAGTAAAGGTGCTATGCTAAAAATGAACAGCAAACACTTCAATTTCACTTTGAAGTGGTAAAGCCAGTGGCAGTCAAATCTGGTAAAAGACCTTGTAGGTGGTGAGGAACTTTGTTGAAACGCTCAGGTTCTGTTCTGTGTCGAAAGTGTCATTTTGATTTGAATCATGTGCAAACAGAGGTGGATACTTTCCATTTTCCCTACAAAAGCTGTGGAAAAATGCTGAATATCAGATCTGATGATCGGTCAGGCCTGTAATGGGTTAACTCCTATTTTGTGATACATATTTATATATGCATCACTTTCAAATACTGGGTGAATAGGTTATGTTAGCATATCTAGCCTGTGTATGGGTTTTAGGGCTGAACAGGAAATTGAAACATTGTCGAAATCGCAATGTGGTCAAGTGCAATTTCCAAATCATAATAACTGCAGTTTTCTTGATAATAGTAAAATGTGTTACCAAATACCAGTATAAATAAAGTATTGTGGTACTACAGACATAGTCTGGCCTCATAATCCTATTCTTCAGATGTAAGGGAACATCCTTGTTTGATTCAGGCCACAGCAAATATCGTATCATCGTTTACATTTTTTTCGGTGGAAAAGAAATGAGAAAAATATAAAAGCAATAATGTCATTCCAACTAAAATCATGACTCATGTTGCAAAATGGATAAAAATAACCAGACTGTAGTGTATGTTGTTTTCTAACCTAGTGAATTAAATTATGACCAACTTAAATGAAAACTCATTGTGATGATAAGACTTAACTTGTAGGTTTGCATAGAACATTTAGGTGCCCCTCAAAGAGATATTAGTCCGTGCTAAAGAAAAGTACCAGACAAAATTATAAGACTTGAGAATACTTTTTTTTAACTATTTTCTTCATTAGGATTTCATTTACTGAAGGATATTAAACATTTTTGTTTATCAAATGATCAGAAATAAGAGAAAAAATACATAGATTTCTGTCAAATTAGGAAATACAGACTTACTGCCTTTTCTGTATGTCTCGCAAAGTCCCCAAAAGCCTATTCTGAGTCAGGAAAAACCCTGTAGGTACATATGCAACATTTTTCTAGCGGCTGACAAATTTGTATAATGTAACTGTATATATTGGCATATTGCACAACTGTATAATAAAATTGAATTACTTGTTGTCCCTAAAAAACATGGAGCATACTAAAGGAAAGCTGTTTCCTTCCAAAATTAAATGACATTAATTGTGCATGAAAATGTTTTTCTACCCCCAGCTGTGTCACAAGTCACAAACTGCAGTTAGGTTATCTTTTACCAAGAATGTCAGTCACAAATAGTCACTGGGTATAGTGGCCTTGAAGGCAACCCTGTTCTTCACACCCTTTGTTTTCTCAGAGTGAAACAGGTTCGGTGAGTAGGCATAATGATAACTGTCTGGTTGTGTACAAACACATTTTTTGGTAATTTGTTCAGACAAAACAGAACAACTTTAAAATATGTAAAAGCGTGGATGAAATTTTAGATCATGCCATTGAGCAATCAGTTGCAAGGAGTGTAAGGCTTTAAAGCAATGTAGTGTTAGCTACATTTTCTGTCCTTTGAATGATTATGTAAGTTACAGATGTGGTCGTGAACCAGCCTGTCTTTCATCACACCCGCAGTATGAAGCTGTAAAAGTCAAGGAAGAAGATATGCATATGTGTAATTTAGCAAGGTGAGGCAGTCGAGGCGATGAAGGATGTGAAAGGTTTTCTAGTGGAAATATGCTTTTAAGTTGTAACCCAGAGTAACACACATGCTCTGATAACAAATTGCACAGACACTCATCTGATTTCCTGTCTTGATGTCATGTGATGTGAGTGTGTCTATGTGCGAAGTCTCTCATGACATGCCTGCTAGCTGTTTTCCCCTCGTCATATTTACTTAAACCTTATGTTGAACACGTGTGATGAGGGTGTTTGAAGGGAAAATACACAAACACGCACTTAGACACCGTTGTTTGGCCTTTAGGGAAGAAAACTTTATGTTGGTGAGTGCAGATAATCGTGACTGTAACTCATAAGCACAGACTGGTCTCCTCTCCTGCAGGTCTCTGCCCAGATTGCATGTTCAGGCTTCACATTTCCATAAGCTTTGGAAAAAATCTCATTTCCATATGCAAAGTCTTTGTGTGTTTTCCCATCTAAGCAAAGGTTGTGTGATATATCAAAACATAGGACACACCGAATGGAACAACAAGTTAAACCTTGTCTCATCTGGTAAACTAAAAGCACGATCTGCTTCATGTACAAATTGATTAAACTTTTTTATTCAGTGAAATATCCCTCTACTCATTGTCAGTTGTGATGTACAGTCAGGTCATTTGTGTTCATTTCAAACTTGATTATTCATTAAATGTATAATTTACCATGACATAGAACAGAAGTCAGAGTATTTAAATGGTATTGTCTCAGAAAAACCTGCCAATTACACAATTTCCAAGCATTTAGACTTTACACTTTGTTATGTAGAAACACAGCAAAGGAATTTAGTGTTAAACATATTTTGATAAAGAATCTGGATGCAGCTGAAACTTCTACATTGCTTCCAGCATCACATACTTTACATGGGATGCTCACTGTTTTACAAGATCTGTTTTAAATATTTCTCTGAGAGCCCACAATGGAAACCTGCTTTGGATACTGTGGCTGAGAGAAGTTGAGCACCGCCCATTGCAGTTATTACACTCAACTGAATCCACAACAGTGTCATAAGAGCTGACAGTAAATTCTGGTATCCATACGGTTTTGTTCTTGTCTTCACCAGTACCCAGCCCAAACTTACCTATTCTTTGTTGCCTTACATTAGCGATGCACATTAAATACTGCATACAAATTGGATGTGTGAATCACTTTTTTACTATCACAGATAACAAATAATGTAGTGATAGAATTTTTTCTATATTGCCCAGCGTCTGTCAGATCAAACCCACTGTGGCAGGCTTGCATGACTTAATTTTTTTGTCTGTGCTCACAGTAGCCTATTATCATCGTGTAATCCACCTCTTCCTTTCATGAAGCTGTTAATGTTTTTTGTAATGTAGTTAAGGCTAGTTAAGCCATCATACAGTGTAAACAAGCTGAGTGCCAGGCACAAAAAGACAAGTGTCAGGCATTTATCTCCCACTAAGCCTTCACTTTTTCATTTAAAAGCAAAGCATCATATTCCACACTCTCAGATTTTCATTTTTCTTTTCGTGTTTCCTTGTCTCCCAGCTTATTTTTGTGTGTGAATGTGTTATTCTCTGACCAGCCACACCTTAAAAACAGACTGAGGTCATTTTCCTGGAGAGTGTGTAAATTGAGTTGTAGCTGAACTCTGCTCTCTCCCCTGTGTCTCTACACCACTGCTCTCTGCTTGGGCAGGACTGAATACTAAGTTGGAAGCTACTTTTAATGCGTGTGTGTGTGCATTTGATTGTGTGTTTGTGAATATGGAAATACACAAGCTGCTCTTTCTTTGCTAACACCAGACAGTTGGATTCAATTTCTTCTCATTTTTTCAGTATTTGTTTAGTTTATTTGCTAGCTCTTTCAATTTTGCTGAATTTTTAATTTTTTAATTTTTTTTTGTTATACTCGCTCTCATTTGAAGGTGGTCTATGCTAGAGTAGTGATAGTAACTTTTGTTTTCAAGATATTTTTTTGGCATGTTCACCTTTTATTCGATAGATACAGTGGAGAGAGAGACACGGGGAAAGGAAAGCAGTGGAATGACATGAAGTTAGGGTTCAGACGGGTCAGAAATTAAACTGCTCGTTTCTAAGGCTACCAATGATTTCCTTTGTCTATTGCATAGCATCATTGAATGTTTCTATTACAGCAGTGTCCAAACTATTTATATAATTGCAGTTATTTTTTACAAGTGTCTGTCTTTATCAATATTACTGATGCTTTTTGGCTCTTACTCTGCAAACTAGCAACTATTTCCTTGTACAGAAAACAAAAAGAAGCTCAGAGATAAATATTTTATTTTTCCTGGTAAGGGCTTGTCTGTTATCGTTTAATAAAATTATATTGTGACATAAATTGACTACTAAATAAATTATCAAAACACATTGAAAAAGAAGTTTCTGAATTAAAGATCTTATTTTTAAGAAATTATTGTAAAACATTAAAATTATGTTAGGATCATTTTAATATGTTGTTGTGCCACTGTCTCCAATCTCAGTTATTTTCTCTCAGTGTTGTGTTCCGTATTCTTAATATTAAATGTATTTTTCTAATTTTCTCTCCATAGGAGTCCGGTAGCGGGGAGGATGACCGCCGCTCTCAGCCTCGGAGGTAAGATATTGACAGATGTCAGCTCAGATAAGCTATTTCATCTCTTCCCTCTGTGAGCTCAGCATCTTAAAAAATACAGTGCAGTTTTAAGGCCAAAAATTAGGAGTTTGTTTCACAGTTGTACTGGAAAAGTAGTGCCGGGCCCACCAGATGAAGAGACACCATCATTATCATGCCAAAAACCACATCAGAACACACAGCCTGTTATGTTGCTGCCCCTGACCTCTGACCTGGCCTGACCTAGACCAACAGGGGACAAAACAGGCTTTGCATGAAGAGGCAGATAACGATTAAACAGTGTGTATGTCTTAGGCTGTAGGACTCCCTTCTGTCGTGACTTGACAAAGAGCTGCTGTGCTACCGTGGTGTGCCGTGCGTTGTTGCGTCAGAGCTGGAAATCTGGTTTATCCTGTTTGACTCAACCACACTTGCACCTGGCTTTAGTCCACCAGTGATCAGCAATTTCCTTTCACTGCCTACTGTGTTTACTTGTTCTACATGATACCAATGAACAGTCTTACTTCTCCTTTGTTATATTTGGCCTTTTAATAACAAGTAAAACCCTGAAATCCTCTCGTGTATGGGATAATTAACGGTGCTTCTCTGGCTGTCCATTAGAGGGCAGCAGCATCTGCGTGATGCCAGTTTGGGTATGTGGGTCAGGGGAGCTCCACTGCTGATCCAGGGGCAGATTGGTAGCCACTCCCCAACTCAGAGCGTCTCTGTGTCTGTCTGGTCACTGGAGCTCTGTGCCATCCAACTGAGAGGACTGTCTGTATTTGTGCAGCTGGGAGTGTAATCTACTCTCACATACTGGGGCTGAGGTTGTGTGTGTACACAGAGAAAGGTACATGATCAGATGTCATTTCGAGTTTGATTAGTTAGTATATTATTAGCAATGTCTTGTTTTGAAGTTCTAAGCTTAGTTGATCAATTAAATTTCTGTTCTCCTTTCGTATAGTCATTCACATGAAGTTGGGAGGAAATCAGTGCTGCTGTGATGTTTGATTTGACTGCATGCTGATCCACCCCTCTGTGGATATGTAACACTGTGACCTTGTTACTTGCGCAGACATGCCATTAAATATTTTTTGTTTTCTGTGGAGCACATACTAATGTAGAAATAAGTTCCTGGTGAGAAACTGGGTCTTGTCTTGACTTCAGAATAGCCTCAAACCTTCATGAACTGCTTTTATTACCAGCGTGGAGCGCTGTATAATATACTGGAGGAAGGAGCCTGCTAAAGTCTGTAGCTTTCTAAAAGATAAGGGGAATTTTTCCCTTTACATTCAGTTCACTTCTCGCATTAAAGGTTTGTTGAGGTAATATTTCTCGAGGTCATGGTCAATTTTTTTTTTTCATTTTGTTAAAATGCTGTTTTTTGTTTGTCAGTTGAACTGTGGAGTTGTTGTTAGATATTAAGACCAGCATCTGTTGTTCGTTATTGTGCTGAGTAGTGGGTCAGTTTTGTTTTTTTAGAGTGGAACTTTATTTTGAGTCAATGCCTAGTATGTCACACTTTTGCATTCATCTAGGCAGTACTGTATATACAGCATTGATACAAGGATTTACAAATTGTTGTTGTTGCTGACTTTGAATGCTGAATGCTGATTTTGATTTTGAATTTGAATGCTGTGGTTGTTGCTGATTTTATGTTGGTGTTGTGTTGTTTTTTCTGGGGTAGCAATTTCCCTGAGGTTTTGTACCGAAGGGATCAATAAAGTTTTATTCTATTCTTCTATTCTAAAATGCCAGCTTTGTTGTAGTTCTTACAACAGTACCCCAGTGGTATTTTAGCTTTGTTCCTCATGAACCTGTATCTTGTCTAATAAAACAGTCACATATTTGTCATGCAATAAGCTGACCGAATAACTTCCATACATTGGCTAAAGAAAGCCAGAAATTAGCTGTATAAACAAGTACAAAACAACTGATTTACCCTAGAAAAGCATGTTGTGTAGGACTAAGTGACAATGTTCCACTTATGAACATTAGTTTGGGCAAACATCATTGTAAAGTATGTCAGAATTTATTGCATAACCTTTAAAAAGTTACAGAATTAGGAGTTTCTTTAGCTTCTTAATTAACAGAAAACTCATGTGTTGTGATTTACTTTTGAGTGAAACAGATATTGTGTGCAGGATTTAGTTAAGAGATTGGTTTAAACTAAAAAACAAAAAAAAAAATCAGATGTGATTGTATTGTACACTCAGGCTACTTTCTTAACATATACAAGAGTTGCAAAATATTAGGAATGCTTTCAAATGCAATGCAGTCCAGTACACAACTGTTGTGGGCGGTAAACCTTCGCCCTTTTTTTTTTACCCACATTGTCAGAGCTGGAAATAGAGGATAAGGGTTATCTGAATAACATTACATTCTTCAAAATGTAAACAATGTTTTTAACAGCTGGAATCCAAACACGATTGTCGTACCATGACATTTATAGTTAGGTTAATTTGTAATTGGTGCAGTTTGCTAGTCACCCTAAATTACATTTAACTTGACATATTTATGTAATTGGCCATACTTTTTTGACAAATAGGTAGCCTATACCCAGAGGTAGGTGAACTATTAACACATTGTATGTATTCGTTTGTTTCACTGTGTCACAGTCATAGCTGCAGTGTGGTGTATTCAAGTCCTGGTGGTCTCAGGTGTGTTGGCAAAGAGAGAAAAAACAATCCAATAAAAGTGTGCCATTTATGCTCAGTTAATGGCTCCAAAATCCGGCGAGCTGGTTCATTTTCACCCACACTGCTGACGTCTGTTGCCTGTCATGCCGTAAAAGTGAGCAGAGCTCTTTTCTAACACAGGTACTGTCGTGACATTCATTGAGAAAAAAGACTTTGGTGATGCAGTGTGTCTGCCTGCGTAAGCAAGGCCCACTGCAGCGCTGCTGATTAAAGTCAGTGACATCAGCAGGGTAGTGACATCAGCTAAAGCAGCAACATCACTGGCCGACCCACAGAAGGGAAATTAGAAGGAGGATAAGGGAATTTAATATGATCCTGCAATTGCAGAGTATTTCTGATCTTTTCTAATCTACATAATACTTTAGTTAGATGACCAAAAGTGGAAAAAAGAATTATTCGTCTGAATGGGAAGGACATTGATTTTATTTAGTCGTCTGTTTGTCTTTTTTATTTCACCTTACAGTTACATTTATGTGCCTCTAAGCCTCCTCAATAAATGTTTTTCATTTAGTGTGTTATTGTCCAATATGTGCAATCTGTTATATGCTATATAGCAGATTGACTTGACTGTAAATAGTCAGATCGACAACTGACTTCACTGCTCATAAAATAGATGGTAATCAATACTCCAGGCTTGTGCTTCAAATAAATACTGAATAGCCTTGGGTGAGCTGTACATACTTTGTGATGTTGTGATCCCTAAGGTGACCGTCTGTGTGTTTGCATACATGGAAACATAGGAGCAGCAGAGCAGTGTCTGGTGTCTGTCTGCATGTAAAAACCACATCCTGGCCTTCACTGCTTGTCATTGGATGGTGTGAATTTCAGCAGTCAAAAGAGAGAACAGTCAGTTGGAACTTGATAGATGGGTCCAACAAGACACACACAGACATGTGGGTTGCTGAGAGAGTCCATGCATCCCTAAGACAGGATTATAGCTCATGCATGGAAGGCCTTAGATACATCTGCAATGCTTTTACAAAAGATGCCATGAATATTTCCATACTGTAATTCCTAAGCCCAAATAAAGAAAGAAGAGAGATGCAAGTGATCATGAAAGGGGTCAATTAGGGAATAAAGTCAGTCAGAGCAGGCGAAAGCAACCTCTTGACATGAAAGGAGAGCTGTGGTGGGAGAGTTGAATAGGAGTCTGATGCGTTGATTGAGTAAATGTCAGATTAAGGAGCTGGTATCGGTGATGAAGGCCTCCTCATGAGTATTTAAGTCTCATTAGTGTAACTTTAGTGTGCTTCTGCTGTGTATCCCTGTTTCATTTAAGGTTTCTGCCCAATGCTTGGCAGTATTGTTACACCATTTAATGTTTATACACTGATAGCCACAACCTTGGAACCACTAACAGGCCAAGTGAATAACCTTGATCATCTCATTGCAATACAGTGCTCTTGTAGGAAACCTTTTGTTTGAAACCTAGTTTGACATGCGTTGAGACATTATTCAAAAACTGCTCAGGAACAGTTTAACAAACATGCGATAAATAAATAAATAAATAAATAAAAAAGATTGCGTGACACTACCGAGCACCCTCAGAGGCCCCCTCTCCATCCTCTGGTGGTTTACAAGTTTTTAAAGTGGCACAAGGAGGACCTACACAGTATTAGGCAGGTGGTTTTAATGTTGCAGCTGATTGGTTAGTTTATATGGTAAAACACCTATGACCTCTAACATCATAGAGCTGACCAACCCACTTCATCTTGTACTGAATCATGCCACCTGGGTATTTCATTAAGCATCAGAGACAACCTAAATGTACAAAACGTCTCATACAGCTTGTACACACTTGCACAGTGTTACACAAGCCACAGATAGACCTTAGAGAAAAACACTACACTGCTGTTGTTTATCCTAGGGTATGAATTGGCAGTCAGGTGGTGTCTACGTAGCTACCCTCAGTTTGTAATCCATCCTACAAATTGAAACCACGAGGGATCGACAAGCAGCGTAACCAAGCCTAAGGTCAAGTTTCTCCTCTGTGGATTGGTTGGCTGCTGTGCCCTTTTTCATTTCTCAATCTTTTTTTCACTGTCACGGTGGTGGTGTTGTTGTTGTTTTGCTGTTGCTGGAAGCACTTTGAGTGTCGGGTGTTGCTGACTCTAGGGAGAAGTTTGTCTAAAGGCTACAGACCTAGAGTTGGTTACACAACATTGTCACCCTTCCTCCAGCAACAGGATTCAAGCTGCACAAATGTCATCAGTGTTTGTGGCCCACCCTGTTCAAAGGATGCCCCTCTGGATATAGTATAGGGGGTAATTAATGAACAATCAGGGGAGGTGTTGTCAGGGAAAATTTCTGATGTTCTTGTTACAGTGAAAAGACGGTTAACTCAGCAGGGACGGGTGTCATTGACAAAAAGTATATAAGCCTATAACCAGAAAACCCTGTCCTGACAGATAAAGATGTCATGAAATGTGTTTGTTAATTTATTTGTTGCTGATCGTTGACTGAGAGTAAAGCTGTCTTTTAAACAATTGCATTTCAAAAGCAAGGGGTTCAGGGAATTGCTTAGTTAGTTTTATCAGGCTGTCAGGCTGGAAAAACTGTAACCTGTCAAGTAAATCAATTTCAGTAGGGCAATTAAGTTGTACTGGAACTTGTAAATATGAGTTCAAGTGGCCAGAGTGGGATGAAAAGAGGAAACTAAACCAGCATATCAACAACAGAACTTACTAATAATGTGATTTATACGATAAATCACAGGCTTCTCAAGCAAAAAAAAATGTAAGGCTTTACCTTTTATGTTGTGAACATTAATTTAAAAGTGATGTCTAAGACGGTTTTCTTTTTTATATGTCTGCATCTTAACATTGAAAAGTCTATTATAATGAAAGATGGATTTGAATTGTCTTTAAAGGACATCCTGATTGTTTACTTGAACCATCAAGTAAATGTGGTTATATCTGTTAAACAGCCTTGTGTGTACCTGAAGAGTGCAATCACTATTTTATGTATATTTTGCCCCTTGGTGGTTTCAATGTGCTTTACTTTTGTTTCATGCCTGTTGCTGTTGTCATGCTTGACTTGATAGTTTTTCTAAGTTTCTAGTGGTATGCCTTCTTGGCCAGGTCTATTTAATAAAACAGATTGTAATCTAGGGCTGGGTGATGAGACAGTAGTTATGTAACATTGGACACATCAACAGCCATATGTAAATAGTTTGGAAGAACTGTTGATAGTTTCACTTTAAAGCCTCAGATGCAAATTGCCATGAAAGCATGTAACAGAAAAAGGCAAAATTTGGTTGTCATAACAAACACAAAGCGGGCTCCCTCCCTGGTTCATTAACAGCCTGTCCCTCAGTAATGGACCCTCCTCACCTTCTGCCACTCATTGTGGACAGTTTACCTCAAAAGTTTACTTGCTCTCTTTAAGTAATGTGTGTCATGGTAAAATCATTCCTGTGTCCTTAAACTATTTGTTCGTGAAAAATTAATGGTAACATTAAAATTATTACCTGTGTGTCTTCATTTAAAAAGTGGTTGTAATAAAATTACAATGATTACATTCAAAATATTTTTTCTTTCTGTCGGTCCCTTTTAAAAAGTAGGCCATAAGAAATGATGCATTTTAGTTATTCCTATGGACTGGTAGATCAATTTCGACACTTAATCGTGATGCATTTTTCAGCTAGATCAGCAGGTCTGAGTTTAAACTAGTGGATTTCTGAGTAAAGCTGATGTGACGATCCAGGATTTAGTCACATGAAGTTATTCTCTTGGTGCCAGTAAAACTGTGTCTTTTTCCCATATTTGTGAATGTTTAAAATAATTAATTTTGCACAAGAGTTGTTTGCGTTTAAGTGTCCCCTCTGTGGCACTAATAATCCTTCATACAGTCCTGGCAGAAGGCTGTTTTGTGGATTGGATCGTGTGTGTCTCCTCCCCTTCAGTGGAGGATTTACCGCAGCGTGCTGCAGACAGATGAAGCAGTGGCGCTGAGCAGATGTTGGAGGCACCTGCTCTGCAACAGCATGTGTTAAATGTGTCAATTATCTCTGCAGCCTTTCAATACTGATTTACTGCGCTGCAGTCCCTTACTTTACATCGCGTTGGCGGATAGTTTAGCTTTAATGTCGTAGTTATTAATCAGAAACACCCGAACGTCTGCGTTTTCACAACTACCTGAGCACTGCGCAGTGGTCTGCTCCACACCTCGACGGCGACTATCGGTGACTGCAGCCCGCTTCTGTGCGCCTTGTTCCCGCCACCGCAGCAGCGATGCCTCCCGGTGTTGTAACCGCCCCGCGGAGCTCGTCGACCGGCTGCTTTTGCGCCTGCTGCGAGGTGAAGCTGAGACCTTATTTCACCGAGAACTCCGTGATCTCTCAGGGGGAAATTTATCAGCTGTAAGTGGACTGAATGCACTGTGCTCTGAGTAGAAATAACTATTGCCATGAGCTGCAGTAACATGTAGAGGCAGCTCATCAGTGAGATGCCTGAAGTAGGCTGCTGCTGCTGCTGCAGTCTGATTCAGCCACTCACTTACTTAGACAATGCACTTGTATCCTGTCATCACTTAGTTCATGTGGTCATTTATTCTGCACTTTAACATGTGGTTGCTGTGGTCTGGTATGACAAAGACTTGTGGTTTTTCCATGATGACTTCAAGGGAAGGATGTGACGGCACAAAAGCAGCAGAAGAACCAGTGGTTGCAGGAAGAGATTTCCTTCCCTTTGCTCCATGAGAAATGTCTGCCAGATGCTTCACTCGCCTGCTCACATGCGCTCCCCTCCACCCACCTCTATCTTTTCATTTTAGCTGCGCTTAAAATGTATCTAAAGGGGGCACAGGAGAAAGGCACACGGTGTACCTTAGTGAGTCAGAGGATGAGATTAATTTGTCAGTATCTTCTGAGGCCAAATGTTAGGAGTGACGCTGTCGTTTAATGCCAATTTATGTTTGATCAACCGAGTCAGTGCATAGTTTGTCTACACTTACCCATTATTATCTCTTACATAATACACCTAGGTGATGATTGTGTGTCAGCCTGGCATACAACACTGTATGAATCAGAGGATAAATTCAAAAGTTTGTCTGTCTGTTTATTTTGGGAAAAAAATTGCTTGCTAGTAGTAACTGGTACTCACAATTTGTCCAGTTTGTCGTTGTAGGCGGTCTTTCCAGTGTTTCCTTTGGAAGGAATTTGAAACTGAAGACTTTGACTAGGATACAGCTGTGTTTGTTTAAATTAAAATCCAGATCTAATTTTATGGGGGTTTTTTTGTTTTGTTTTTTTTTTTCCTTACAAATTTCAGTGTTTCATGAAGAAAACTGACGATGTCACAAATTTCTATCATCCTTTATTTTAACTTGAGAATATAACCAGATACTTAAAAACACTTTAGTGACGCTACAGATTGCCTACTTATCACTCTTGTCATTACTGCTGTCTCTTCCAGGTTTATTCTCCCTTGCCTCTGTTCCTCTTCGCCTTCATCCTCACAGCAGACGGTGTCACAATGCAATTTCCTGCCTCTCATGGTCCTTTCTTGGCTTTAGCCTATATTTATCATTCCCTCCCATATGGAGTGATGAATCAGTCAGTGATCACTGGCGTTAGTGGTGAATCTCCTTTCACTCATCATCTCAATACACAGTGAGAATTTTACTTTGATATCAGCTTAATCACAGGCGCAGAGCACCAGAGAAATGTCAAAATTAAGGGAATGTGTTGGTCATTTTAAGTCTCTTACATAAGTTTGTTGTTCGGAGCGCAGTAGTGCCAAGTCGCTTAGCTGGAAGCTGCCAGATCCATGCGAGTAGTTGTTCACTTACGTGCCACAAAGTGCTGAAGTTCCAGCCAAAGTCAGTGAAGTTGTCCTTTGTACAGAGATGAACACTGCAAGTAGGCCTGCTGGTTTAGATAAGTTCATATGAAGGTTAAATCACTGAATTGCTCTGTTTGTTTTCCTTACTGTGTAACTCTATGCGTCTTTGTTTGTTGTGCCTCTGTCATTTTATGAACTTGTCCACTTCGGTTAAGCCATCATGTAATTGGAACCAGCTGGTTTCTGATGCACACAGCACAGTCAAGTGTCTTGAGCTCATAATGACGCATACATCTTTCCGTTATTGTTTTGTGTAAGATGTTTGTTCAGGAGGTCGATGGGGATTTCCTAAGAAAACATGAAGTTAAATTGCCATTTTTGAAACAGATTCAGCTTTTAGATATGCAAAATCCCTCTTAATAAATATTCAGATGTTTTAGCTGCAGAACAAAACTGCTTTATACAGTTGGGGCTTTAAAAAGCCCACAACAGTATTTACTCTGACATGTCTCCACTGTAGCAAGTGATGACAACACATGCAAATTAGTGTAAAGCATACATTTTCAGAAAACAAAGCATACCCATCAAAAGTTCCCAGCACTCAAAATAAGGTTTTTCTGTTGCGTGTTTTGTCTGACTGATGGTCAGAACCCCAAAATACTGAGTTTGCTGTCTCATAAGACAGAAAGGCACAACATCTTCACTTTTGAGAAGCTGCATTTAAAGAATATTTGGCACTTTTATGTGAAAAATAACTGTTTATCAAAAGATTTTTCTGTCAATGGACCAGTTGGTTTAGCTGGAGTCTAATATTGTGTTTTTGTAGAAGAACCTTTGGTGAAAATCACTTAAAGCTGTGAAAGATTTCTTTATTTATTTTTATTAATGTTGATTGATTGGTTGTTGTTCACAATTTTTTTTCTCTCTTTTCACTCTTCTGTTCAGCATCAGTGAAAGTTTCCTGACAGTTAAAGGAGCTGCTCTCTTCTTACCTCGAGGAAATGGCTCCTCCCCATCTTCTGCCTCTCGTTTTTCCCAGCTGCGCAGTAAACATGCAGGTGAGGTGAAATGCCCTCAACAACAATAAACTGTATGAGTTGTGTTTTTGCTAGATACGGTGTCATGTATGCACAGCTGCAGTTGTTCACATTGACCAAAGTTATACCTCTCATCTTAACAGGAGACATCCAGCAGCATCTACAAACCATGTTCACTCTCCTCAGGCCAGAGGACAACATCAAACTGGTGGGTCCCCAGAGCAACACAGAAATTCAACCAAAATTCCATTTTGTGGTTTACAGTCAGCTGTTAAGCCATAACCTGTGCTAATTTTTTTCTAATTTCAGGCGGTTCGGTTGGAGAGTGCCCATCCTCAGGTCACCCGCTACATGGTGGTGGTCTCAACTAATGGTCGTCAGGACACGGAGGAGAGCGTGGTGCTGGGAATGGATTTTAGTCCGGTCGATAGGTGAGACAGTGACATACACACCTACTTACATCTGAAGTTTTGATGCTGTGCATAAAGTTTTAACAGATTTTTGCCCCTCCCAGCTCATGTTCTGTAGGGATGGTTCTGCCCTTATGGAGCGACACCTTGATACATCTGGATGGAGATGGGTAAGGACATTTCCAAAATGCTTTATCTGCCCAGCACACACTAAACACCTGTTTGCTAAGATGGCTGACAAATCCTTTTTTTGTTTTTTTTATTCTACCTCCTTTCACTGTGCTTTCTGTCTTCTTGCTCTCAGGGGTTTCAGTGTGTCAACCGATAACAAAGTGCATGTGTTCAAGCCCGTTTCTGTGCAAGCCATGTGGTGAGTCACACTGCATTAATCACACGACTTGATAGAAGTGGATATTTATGTATTGACTTCTGTTGTTCATCTTGGCATCTAATTTATGCGAGTCTTTTTCTGTCTCTGCCCTTTGTCTTTAGTCTTAAATCTTATTTTTCTCCTTCACTCGCAGGTCAGCCCTCCAGTCACTCCATAAAGCATGCGAGGTGGCTCGTTGTCACAACTACTTTCCAGGCAGCTTGTTCCTCACCTGGGTCAGCTACTATCAAAGCAGGGTCTCCTCCGACCAGGCCCGCATCAACGAGTGGAATGCCATGCAGGATGTGCAGTCACACCGTGCTGATTCTCCTGTGCTCTTCTCTGATGTGTAAGTATCCATATGATATGAACTTTATTTTTCACTATTTATTTTCTCATCTAACCTGTTTTACACAGTTTTCTGTACAATAAGATCATGGTTTTCTATAGAAAGACTGAAAGACATGCAAATATTAGATGACAAACTGAGAAGTTAACACTAAGTTGCACACATAGTACGACAGAGTGGTTTGATCCAGTATTTCCTCCATATGGCAGAAAGTACATCTACTTCATATGTTGTGTTTCAACATTATGATGTTTCTGCAGACCTACGGAACGAGAGCTGACAGAGCGTCAGATCAAAACCAGTTTGAGGGAAATCATGATGCAGAAAGATCTTGAGAATGTCACCTGCAAAGAGGTGAGTCAATGCTTCTGATGCTGGATTTGAAAATGCTCCAAATAGATGTGGTGATCATAGATATTTCAAATGCGCTTAGTCAGGTTTGACAGAAAACTGTCTCTTCTAAAGAGGACATAAAAAGACAAGTTTGAGTTTCTTTATAGTCTTCAGTATTAAACTTACAAGTCCTCTTGTGTGTGTGTGTGTGTGTGTGTTCCCTGACTGGATTTTTTTTTTCCCTCTGTAGATCCGAACAGAGCTAGAAATGCACATGACATGCAACCTGCGAGAGTTCAAGGAGTTCATAGACAATGAGATGATTGTCATTCTGGGCCAGATGGACAGTCCGACAGAAATCTTTGATCACGTCTTCTTAGTAGGTTTACTAACAGCACTGCTTGAGCACCTTTACTGCATTTGGCATCAAAGAATAGAACGTGTCTGATTTACCACCACATCTGTACATGAGACTTAATTCATGTCTGTGGAGCTTGACAAAGTATGGGATAGTCTTATGTAATTCCAAGTTCCTCCCAATTTTAAGGTACTTTGCTCTTGTTTGGTTTGAAGTACACACTGGATGTCGGGCATGTCTTGCCACTGGATTTAAGCATTATGAAAAGCTCAGTGAAAGGCTCTGAACAAGTCTGAGGATTGCTTTTGTTTCCTACAGGGATCTGAGTGGAATGCATCCAATTTGGAGGAGTTGCAGAAGAGCGGGTAAGAAGGACAAAAACAACAAAGCCCTCTACACAGTACAAAGTGTACTGTAGTCAGTAAGAACATGACGTATTCATATGAGAAAACCTTAAGATTGTTTTGTTAGAATGAAATTTAATGTCAAGTGTTAAAATATTTCTCAGTTTTAGCGCAACAACTGCACATCCAGTCGTCTCTCTCATCCTCTACTAATCTTGTCACACAGAGTTCAGTACATCCTGAATGTAACGAGGGAGATTGATAACTTCTTCCCTGGCGTGTTTGAGTACCACAACATCCGAGTTTACGACGAGGAGGCCACTGACCTGCTTGCCTATTGGAATGACACCTACAAGTTTATATCCAGAGCCAAGTAAGTGTTAGATAACGGCATCAGTGGTCTGCTCAATTTGTTATGGCAAAGTATTCTGTCTGTGTTTTTGCCTTTTCTGTCTGTTCTCACAGGTTGTTTTTTTCTATTTTTTATTTAATTTTTTTTAGAGGTTAGCTCTTTTAAAAAACGTGACTCAGTCAAACCATCTGCCTTACAGAATTGTACACTCAATTTGTTATTTCTTCACCAGGAAAGCTGGGTCCAAGTGCCTGGTGCACTGTAAAATGGGCATAAGTCGCTCCGCAGCCACAGTGATTGCGTATGCCATGAAGGAGTATGGATGGGATTTGAAAAAAGCCTTTGATTACGTCAAGGAGCGTCGAACTGTGACCAAACCCAACCCTTCTTTTATGAGACAGCTGGAAGAATATCAGGGAATACTCCTGGCCAGGTACACAAGTGTATTTCGTGTTAATTTATGGGGAAAGCATTATGCCAACACTGCATGCAAGGTAGCATGATAAAAATACATTAGGATGACAAAAAATCTGGAACACACAGTTTCAACTACTTTAAACTGCTGGTAGAGCGTGTGCTTTTGAGTTTACCAAATTAAGTAGAGTCATTAGTCATAAATGGTGTATCCTTACACCAAACTAGGGAAAAAAGTTTTTTGAATTTGCCCATGGGTTTGTCACTGCAAACAACTGTTGTCATAATGCACATGGTCATTGATCCATTGGTAATAAAAAATATTGACAAGTGCAGTAAAGTTGTAGCATTATATGTATCTTTGGAACATATATATCACACTAACCTTATGAAGTGTTTTTCTATAGAATTATGTTATTTTTTTCTTACCTTTATTTCCACCCATTTGTCACTTTCTTCCACAGCAAGCAGAGGCACAACAAACTGTGGCGCTCTCACTCCGATAGCGATCTATCTGAGCACCATGAGCCACTGTCTAAGTCCTACGCCCAACCCCACAGCCTGGGTCGCTCAGACCCCCATAACCAGGCAGGTGGCACGCCTGGTCCCTCTGTGAAAGAACTGCTGGAATCACTGGGAACTTCAGCCAGAGCTGGCAAAGCGACACACTCCACTAGCCAGCCTGATACTGGTATCAAGTCCAATCCGCTCGGTTCTTCTTCCCTTGAAGGGGTAGCAGCTCTATCAGGTGATGCTGAAACTCGAGGCCCTAAAACTGCCTCGCATTCTGCTGTAGCGCAGAGTAGCCAGCTGCACAACCCTCGTCCTCACTCCACAGCTGGTTCTGTGTCTTTATCTCCCCCACTCTCCAATGGCTTATGTGACTCTGAGGAGCAGCGCTCATCGCCTCCTCTCTCCGAGCCGAGGGCCGCCACAGTGGTGCCTGAGCCCCAGAAGACTGATATGGTGACTGTTGCACAAAGTGTTTTGGTGGGACAGCCTCATCCACCTCCATCTGTGCACCACCTCCCTCCTTCTCCTGCTCCGTCCCCAACTCCAGCCTGCATGGATGACAAGGTTATCAAACCAGTGTTGTCCTGCTCTGTGATAAAACCAATGTTGGTGTCAGTGCCTGAGCCCATGACTACACAAACACCAAGCACACAACAGACTGGACCCCACTCTCTGTCTGCACCAGTGATGGTCAAAAAATCAGACTGCGATCCACAGATATGCGGCTCATCTATGGAAGGTTTAGCCCCCCATCCTCCTTCCACGAATGATTTTATCAGCTATCCCAGTGCCATTCCACACGACAATGTGTTGTTGTTCGGCCACAGTGCAGATCACATAAATTTTTTCAGTGCCAGGGAGAAGTTCAAGGGAATGAGTCAAGATGGTAAAAGTCACTGTGCTACAGTGCAGCAGTCGCCTCTGCTAAAGAACTGTGGCAAAGACCAACCGCTTCAGGAGGTCTCCACTGGTGAACAGAAGGAGGAAGAGAAAGGAAAGGTGAGTACTGCTTGTAGCAAACCTTACAACACTGCTGCAAACTTATTTCCATCATAACATCAACATTATTGTCACTTTGGTTCACATAAAGTTTGTTCTCAGATGCCTTTCTTGCTCTGACAGTCTAAATTTGTGAGTTTGCAATGGAGTTAACATCTGGATGATGCAATCTCTTTCAAGGCTATGTTTATGTATATTGGTTAGTGTAGTGTACCATAAGTTAATAAATTATTTTTTGGATAAAAAAAAGAAATTGTTTGGGGTATTTGGACATGTACTGACCCCAAGGCAGTACATTTTGTCTTACTTCATTTGGGTAAATGTGCCTTTGTTGTCTTGAGTGTAAGCACGCCACCTGGTGACATATAGGCAGAATACTGCATGCCAGATATCTGTCACGTGTAAATCAGTTCTACCTGACTTTTTTTTGAATAACTTTATGGATATATCGGCACTGTAATTTTGCATTTAAATACAATTATCGTATATTATTTCTCGTATCTTTATAGGAAATTCATGTCCCTGTGCAGGTCACAGGACAGAAGCCCACAGAAGCATCACCTCTCGCCCCTCTTAACCAACCAGAACCTCAAGGCCCCCAAGACCAGGAAGTGAGGAAGTCGAGACAGGAAATGGAAGACAGAGATGTTGCATTACAGAAGGAAGCAGAGAATGTAAAAGAGGAAGTAAAACACAAAGAGGAGGAGGAGGCAGGTCCTGCTCGTCTCTACAGCGACTGGACAAGGGGGTCTGTGCGACGTGTCACACAACAGCTGGAGCAAAGAATGAAACATGAGACTCCGTCGCCTTCGTCTTCTCCGCCGTCCCTCTCCGGTAGCACCTCCTATGCTCAGCGTCGTCCGCACAGCATCCATGTTGCAACAATCTCAGATCCCCAGGATGCATCAGTTGGCTCGCAGGTGTCTATAGCTGGCACTGTGCATGAAGAGCAGGAGGAGGAAAATAGAAAGTTGAGACCAGTTAAAACGGAGAGTGCTAATGTAGTAGAGATGGGAACCCCAGGAAATAATGACAAAAGCACAAAAGGACACAAAGTCCAGCCTGCTGATACTAGACTGCTCTCTACCTCGTCTTTCCACCACTCTGCCCAGTCTCCCTTTGCCTCTGTGAACTTCCTTTGTTTGGAGGGTGTGACCGAGCTCGAGTCAAGCTCAGACTGGGACTGTTCAATAGAGGGGCCCCACAGTGACTTTATCATGAGGGAGACGTGGGAGACTTTGTGTGAACTGGGTGCCTTCTTGCAGCAGGTGAGCATGGGTGGAAGCTGCAACGCCAGGCAGGTGGATCAGGCTTTTGGAGCCACTCAGAAGCGAGGTAGCAGCGTCCAGAAGAGGGTTAAGGAGGTAGAAGCCAGGATTCGCCAGGCAGGACTGACCCCTCCATCCCTGATGAAGCGCTCGGCCTCTCTGGCCAAACTGGGCTGCTTGGAGCTGCTCGCCAATGACCTGAGTGAGTGGGAGCTCAGCCGCTGCACCGCAGCTCCACCCTTAGCACAACCTCCAGTCCACACAGTTAATGATGACTCCAAGAAGCAGCGGGTCCACAACTTTCCTTCCTCAGCCAGCCAGCAGCCAGAAGTCCTTGAGATCAGCGCAAAGAGGCTTTCTGAACCAGGAGAAACCTCACCAGGAGTGTCTCTACTGTCAAATCAGAGTCCGCAGAGAGGAAAAGTCGCAAACTCTGGCCAGGATTCCCTGCATTCGCCTGTGCTGACACTTATGACGACAAGGCAGCAATATGGAAGGACTCACCCTCTGAGGCGGCTTAAAAAGAGAACTGTTAGCACCCTTTACCACACCATGTAACCCTCCATTGTGTGTGTGAGAGAGAGAAAGGGATCATGCACCTAAAAAAAAAAGAAAGAAAATATGTGCGTATGATTTTATTCAGCAAAACAAACCAATGCCTCTTGCCTTAAAGGATGTGTTTAGTAGTTTCTGTACATTTTTTCCCTACAGATCCACCAAGAGCCTCTGTGAAATCTGTAATATGTGATACCAGCGTCAGTGCAAGAACAGGCTATGAAGGGTCCAGTTAACTACAATTAAATGAAAGAAGTCATTTAAAAAAGCAACAAAAACAATCATCCGAATGTTAATATGCCTGAGCCTCAGTCTTTACATCATTGCTGGTTTCTCCTTTATCTACTTGATAGTTACTTGATTGCTGTTGGTTGATTGAATCGTCCAACCTGATGTTAGGTAGAATGTAGCCTCCGTTTTCCTCTTCTCCTGCTTTATGTCTCTTCATCCACAGTTTTTTTTTTTAGTTTTGCTGGAGGGAAAAAGCTGCAGCTGTTCTTCTGGTACAATCTGACAGGTATGACAGGAATCTGCCCCAAATCACAACAACACAGACGTGTCAAACTGGCAGATTTGGTTCAAAATGATCATTTAAAGATTTGGCAAAAACACTTTGCACCAGAAACAACAACAACAACAAAAATATTAAGCAAAGTTGATTCTAAACACAGAAGCTCTCAGGTTGAACCACAGACATCAGATCTTAGTGTTTTCCCTCAAAGAATGGTAAATCCAGAGCTGGTGGCAGCATTTGAAGATGGTTGCATAGTTGTCCACCAGTTTATTGGAACATAAAGAGGAGAGGCATGCTGGATTTTATTTTGTTTTATTTTTATTTTTTTGTTTTGACTACACAATACCTCAGTAAGTCAGCCAAATCTGACCTGCACAAACGTCAGGTTCTGGGTTCCTGGAATGTCTGTCAATCAGAATCAATTTTAACTTCATCACTTGACAAACTGATGTAAACTTGTCTCTCTCATGTCCTCTCACAGTTCTGATGCCACTCAAAGTAGAATTTTCTTTTTTGAAATGTATGTTTTACTGTATGGGAGAAAGGGTAGGGTAGGTTAGGGGGATTGGGAATTAAAGGCAGAGTGTATATTTGTGAGTATCTGCTCCGTTCTCTTTGGGATGTAAAGGTCTATATTGTTGTGAGTGTTGACATTTTAGGAACTGTACATGTTTTTTATATCTGGCTTGTGTCTGTGTGTGAGTGCGACTGTGTAGCACAACTTTACCATGTGGGTGTGTACTTTTTTTTTTAAACTAAATTGATCGTTATCTCTTTTGTACACTTTTTAGGAGTGTGCCTGTGACTGGCAATTGAAGCCTCTCTGCAGTCTATCAGAAATGTCTGTACAGGGACGTCTGTCATACATGCACTTTACTCCCTTTTTAATTTTAAATGTGGCTTCTTTTTTTCCCTTTTTTAAAAATAAGAAAGAAATGTGTGTTTGCTACTTTTGGGGAGCATGCTTGGGTAGTAGCTGTTGGGTATGTGTGTGTACTGTCAAAAACTTTTAGTTTTCCTTTATTTTAAACTGTCAGTGTAAATATTCTTTTATATCATGTGCTTCAACTGTGACCATTAAACGATGGAAATTATTACGAGTTAGTTTTACTGCGAGTCTTTATGCTAATGTCAGATCATGACATTCCTAAATATGCTGAACAGGAAGGGTTCAAACAGAACACCATGTCAGTATGTAGTAGTTTGATTTTTTCATTCTTGCTATCTTTTTGATATTATTTAGCAACTATTGTTTCATTTTCCCCCCCAAAAAATCACAAACTACCATAGTTTCTCAGTCTCCATGTGACACAATTAGATAAAAGATCCTCACATTAAACCTTGTTGAGTGACTGATTTCTCAATTTTATTTATTAACGTAATTATTTTGGTATTCTACATACATATAAAAGTGACAGTGGAGCAGATCCACTAGGAACGTGTTAACGCTCCCTCATTTCACCTTTTGGTTAATTTGCTTTGCAACATGTTGCGACCTCAACATGAGGTGAGTGTTTTTTTTCTCTTACTAGGAAAATGCACATGTTTTGGGTGTGGGGAAGTTACAAGCATGGTCATGGCAACAAAAATGACAGTTTGAGGGGGGGAAAAAAATCACTTTCCAGAAGTATATCCCTGTTGCTCTTCAATGTCCACAGAACACATTTTTGTGTGAATCCATGTGGCTTCAATGTACGGCAAAGTCATTTATATGTAAAGGTCCAGCACCCCAGCTTTAAAGCAATTTTAGAGGGAAAAAAACAAAACTTTTTCCTTTTTTTTTTCTTTCCTTCAGAGACGCACATTTTATCCAAACAAACGTTCTTTCTTCTTGCTGTGACTGTGATACTAGTTAGTAAGGTGTGATATCTTAACTCATTTCTGACAAACCCAATGAACAGAGTGAACATTAACTGCAGCCATTTGGCCCAGCTTGTCCAGGGACATTTCTGCTATTTTGGTATTCTGGGTTCTTGTTAGTCAGACATTTTGCTGTCACCGCCTACGTTTTTCACTCTTGCGCTCCACAGTGAAACTGGTAAGTTACAAGCAGCAACTGAAGCCAATAATATCTTCCACGTATGTCAAACATTGAGCACAGACGTCCTGCAGTTTAGAATCTACTGAGTACAGAAAACCCATTGCAAGGTCAGCCTTCTGATTTTCTCTTTTTCTTTTATGGCAGTTACGGCAGCATGATGCAGTGGACCTACGAGGAACCTAATAAAGCTCTCTTTGTTTTCTGAATTTAAGTAAAGATCTTGACCTCTTTCTTGACAGCAAAAAGAGGACACAGCTGGAGCACGGCTCAGCAGCTTCAGGTATCCAGGTATGTTTAGTGTGTGATAGACTGGAAACCAGGTTTATTTTGCAACATCTCCCTGCCACTAACTAGTGAAACAAGTGCAGGTCTTCAATGTAGCCTACAACCTTTTCAGTGCAGCTGGTGCTTCTGAAAGGTCAAAGATCATCTTCATTTATGCAGAGTGTCAGTGGAGGCAAAACGAAGTCACCACAACAACAGGTGATGGCTGCTAGTCAGTAGCAGTGGAAATAACTAATTACAGCTTTTCCCTTTACTGTAATTAGGTCAGTCTTGGGATACTTTTTTTGATCATTTGATCAAGTCTGTAAATTTATTTTAGTACGCATTACGCCGTTAGACGTTACTTGTTTTGAAATCTTACTTTCCAAATCATAGTTTTCTGCTGAGTAAGCTTACAATTTGAATTAATTTCTAAACCTCTCCACTGCATTTTTGTAACCAATACAGCTATCTGATAGTCAATGAAAAGATAACAAACAAAATGCTGCAGCAGACGCAGGTTTGCAGTAGCGACCACTGACCACTGCACATCCAAATAAAGCTAAATAGACTTTGTCAACTTGGAGAAATTACCTTGTGCTTCAACTGAAGCAAAGGCTCCGAAACCAAATTGTGCAAGACATGTTCAAGAATTTAAGGGGCCTTACCTGGCTGTTTATAGCAGTGCATTGGGAGAAGTTTATACTGTTATAAAAAAGAAGAAGAAAAAAATCAGTACTTATTTAACACACAGAATTCCTGCTAAATCTGTATATTTGTTTAAAAAACATTGACAGATTATTATTTATATTTGCTGCACAAATATTCCTTTTTGATTGAATGTCTGCAAAATAATAATGGAGCAGGTAACCACTGCGTTCTGTTTCAGTCAGCAGTTGCTATGATCCGATGTTCATGTCGAGGGTCATCGTGTTTGACTGAGAGGTGGGTCTGCGGCTACCACTTGGAGAAGAAACAACAGTTTTCAAAGCACAAGAGTCTGCAGTTCCCAAAACAGGATGTTGAGGTCAGGAGCCCCAGGAGTGTGTTTGTTGTTTTCATCAGCAGTCACGTGGTTTGTTCAGAGAATTAATCGCTCAGGGGTCAAACTGTCAGGGCAGAGTTATACTTTTAACGTTCTGAGGCATCTGATGAGGGGAAACATTCAGTGCAAATGACCTGAACTGTGGCAGGATGACATGTCGGCGCTCCAGTATGCTGTATGTCAGCCACAGCTGAGTGATTACGAATGTGTTTTTTGGCCACGGCAACATTATTTTTGCTCTTTCACTGAAGTTACTCATCAGATTTGGCTCCCTGAGGCTTATTCTTCTTCTCCAAAAATGAAATCCAGTTTAAGGGTCGCTGTTGCAGAGATTTAGTTCTAATTGCACATCATGCTTACATAATGGGCCGTCCAGTGAGTGTTAGCGGTTCTGCAGGAGCACTGGGAGCTGCACAGTGAGACTTCTTCAACAAGGATGTGGGCCGCATTTAAATCAGGGACAGTTTTTGATTTATTACAGGAAATCTCTATGAACTTTTTGGTTAACCCTCCTATACAAGTCAGGGAAGAGCAAATGAAAGATGACATAGAGTTGCATCATGGGATATGTAACAATGTTTTTGGAGTTTGACAACACTTGGGACTGAAATTCAGGACATCTAGGCCTCTCCTGCATCCATTTTGAGTATTTTTGGGATTACAAAACTCAATTGCTGGAGTGCCTCTTTAGGAAAGTTCCATTTATATGTAGTAACATATCAAACTAAAATGCTCTCTATTAACCAGTAAGCTGCTTTACTCCCTTTACTGAAAAGCAGCCTGGGAGGCCAGCTCACCTGAGTGCCCCCGTCTATCTATCAGAGGCCAACAGTAGAGACAGACAGTGACCCCTCGGGGACGCGCTCCCCCCCGTCAAACCGTGCGCGTTACGTTTCCCTGCACTGACAGAGTCTGTTCCAAAATAGACGGCACCCACCCTACACCCACCCTCCCTCCTCTCACCCACCAGCCCACCCTCCCACACCCTCCTCTCTCTCCTGCTCTGCCCCGGTACTCTCCCCTCTCTCTTTCCCTGCTGAGGAGCGTCGCTGTTTTCCAGTGCGTCTCCTCATGAGAAGTCCGGCACCGGCTCCAGGACACCGAAGCGCAGGGGATTTAAATCAAAGGGAATAAGAGCAGCAGCAGCAGCAGAGGGAGGAGGAGAAAGGAGGAGGAAGGAGGAGTAGTGGGCTGTGCAGCAAGAAAACCGAGACAAGAGTATAGTCCAGGGAAGAGGGGTCTCCCCAAAACCTGAGGTGAGCTGTCCTTTTCCTAATATGTGTGTCAGTGCTGCAGTGGCCTGAGAGGTGCGTCAGCTGCTCCGCTGCGCTGCTGGAGAGGACGGAGCGCGTCCGCACAGCCAAAGCCGGTACATCGTGATTGTGCGCTCCCGTGTGAGCGGATCTTGAGTCGTGCATAGCAGCTGTGGGCTACTTTAAGGAGCACACTTACCAACCTTCACCCTCCCTCCCCTCCCCTTCCTCCCTCACACCTCTGGGACAGCCTATCTATGCTCCTGCGTTTATGTGTATTTGTACAGGCTGTGCGCAATGACTCTTTGAAATTTACGGTCCGATCATTAGCGATCAAGCGCCACAGAGCGCGCTGGCTTCTTTCTGGGACTATTTGGGACCAGGGTGGGAGGAGCGGCTGGCCCGGGTGGGACAGTGCAGTTTGTCATGTCTATATTAGGAAAGTGGCAGTGTCATTCTTTCGCTCTGTCTCGACTCTCCAGAGCCGCGCCATGCGCAACAGAAGGGGGCTATCTCATTAACCTGAGGCGCAGTTAAAGGAGCATGTCGCAGGATTTTCAAGTTAAACTTATTTTTACTATGAATTTCACATCACATTTCTGCATTTTTCTATTTCTTTTTAACTTTGTTGCATGCCCTTTACCTCAGTTTAATTAGACAACCTGCTGGTTCACATCAGATGACATGCAGGAAATATTTTTATGTCAGATGCTTGAAAAAAATACAAAAAATAAAAAAATAAGATCAGGTTGGTTTTGAGGTCAGTTGCGAGCTTTTTCTGCTTTTTAGCTTTTAATCCTGAGAGCCAGGTGTAAAACATGAAGTAAAATAGTTGCTATTAAAATGTTTCTGACATAATAACAATAAAAAATTCACCCAGGAATGTTGGTTATGGTGTTTGCCCTGAAATGCCCCATGGTTGGCCCGCCTGAAGTGGTCACTGGAATGTAAATCTCTTGATAATGGAGAGCTTCCAGGAAAGCAGGGTGAGCTTGTGTCCTCTCATCACTGTGCTTTAGTCGTTTATCCCACCGTCTTTAGGTTCACTTCGGAGCTAAATGGAACAGTGTGAAAGTCAGACATTGCTTCTTAAAGCTTCAGTTGGTCCTTTTTATGGTTTTATTTCAACTGTGAAGACATGTCACCCTGTAAACAAGAAGAAGAGCTGCATCTATCAGAGGTTTTCAGGGACTGAGGCAGGCCTACTTTTAGATTTGGGTTTTTAGTTGTGGCCTTATGTAAGCCAGTGCAGTTTTAATCTATATATTCTCATAGGGATTGTGTCACATGGGTGTGACTGAACAGCTGGCTGTGTTGTATCTGTCAAGTTCTTCCCTCACCTTTTAGCCTTTCTCTGCGTCTTAGCGTTCGTCTTTGATGTTTGGCCGTCACATACTGTTTGGTGGGACAATCAACTATTAATATCTGCACTGATGGCCGGCACTGTTATAGAATATCCCCTGTGTTTTGGGAGGATTACGGTCCCGCTTGGCCTGCTGCCTGGGACAGCAACAAACAGCCTCAAAACACGTCACAGAGTTTGTTATTCAGAGAAAAGCAGAGCGGCGTTTAAAGCTCCTGGAAACTTGGCTCCAATTCCAAAAAGTTTGCCTTCGTAACATTGAATATTCATGAAGAAATCATCAAAGTAAAATATATTGATGGATGCACAGCGTGGATGAGCCGCCTGCTGTGTGGTTGAGTTCATCAGTGTTTGTGCAGTTAACAAAGAAAGAAAAACAAGTCAGAGTTCATTTGCAAAAACAAACAACTCCATCTTCACAAACCTTCAAAAAACCCACTTTTCCATCTTCTACCTGAGACAATATCAATCAAACTTAAGTTATCTCTATTTTTGTCATGTCATTTCTACTGAGTCAAATCCACTCAGCTTCAGTTTGATTGACATTATCTCAAGCAAACAGCAAAAAAAAATACGTTTTCTGAAAATCTACAAAAAGGGACTTATCTGTTTTTGAAAAAGGAACTCTTCAAATGATGACGTACAAAATCTACTTCATGTGACTAAAATCTTGAGTCATCTCTAACCTTGAAAACAAAAGACAACAAAAACAGCATAAAGCTGCCCATAAAAACACATGAAGTGATGAAGATGATTCAACAACCTTCCTCAATGACACACTGAGGAGAGTGCGTCACTGTGACGGATGAAGTCCATTCTTTTCTTCCTGGGGATTTCTAAAAGTCTTGTCTTTTTAAAGAAATCACCTGTACAGCCTTCACTGACAGTTCCTGTGAAATCAAAGGGTTCTTTTTGGTCCAACATTAATATAAAATGTGCAGCCTCACTGTACATTTTAATGTTCTGGATAATTTTAGTTTCATGGGTAATGATGCAGAAACTTTTGGTGAATGTTAATGATCAAAGTTTATCCTCTCCTCTCCATTCACTCTATTATTTCAAATCCCTCATTCTGACCTTCTTCTGGCATCTTTCCTCTTTCATCCTCTCGTCTTTTCTAAACTTTCCCATCACTCCCTGCTCATCCTCCCCCACCTCTTCCTTCTTCACCTTCTCCTCCTGTCCTCTCCTCACTGCAGCCATGAGTCGCAGCATCGTGCGGCAGAGCAAGTTTCGCCACGTCTTCGGCCAGGCGGTCAAGGCCGAACAGGGTTACGATGACATTCGTGTTTCCAAGGTGACGTGGGACAGCTCCTTCTGCGCCGTCAACCCGAAGTTCCTGGCGGTCATTGTTGAATCCAGCGGAGGAGGAGCCTTCCTGGTCCTACCTCTGTCTAAGGTCAGTCAGGTCAAAGAGAGAACACTTTGTCAATCTGCCACTAAAGATGAGACGAGACTATTAACGCAATAATTTGATAAATTGTGCATGAAACAATGAAATATGCTGATAGGTTTTGGTGTTTATTGTGTGTAATATGAGAGGGAATCTATCAATAAATCACAAGAGAAAAAAAAGGACGCATCAGACATCACAGAATTTAGAATTTGTTGTTCAGCAGAGTGAATGCTGATAAGATTGCGAATTAAATGATATGAATAAAATGTGTTTTTCAGGAACATTTTGGCAATGCTAGCAGCACAAATCTATAGAAGGGATTGAGCAACATTGAAACACCTCAGTTACTGCCATTAGATTTTGTACACATATTCACAGTCTTCACTCTCTCATGGGATAATCTTATGGACTTTGTTGATCCCATCTTTTTCTGTAGCTACTCAGTTTTTATCTCACATGTCATAAAGTCTACCAGCTCAGCTGTCCTGTTTGCAAGAAATTGGTGTGTGTTTGTGTGTAGGCAATGCATTTTAAAAAATATATTTGTTGGTGTGTTGAGAGAAAACAGCAGCTCTCTAAGTAATAGCCGGTGTTGCAGGCAGAAGGATGTTTTGGTTTGCTAAGAGGCAAGAGGAACATGGAGCAAAAGAAGGAGAACTTTGCAGCAAAAGAGGAACAAAGGAAATGGAAGTGAAGATAGTTTGAGGGTTTGTGAGCTGATTTTATTATTCATTAAGATCCTGCAATGCTTTAATCAGTGTGCCTGCATCAGTTTCAGATCTCTATTTATTGTTCTGTTAAAGGTCGTAAATGAGATTTTTACCAGGGGATATCCAGCTAATGAAAAAAACAACAGTCTGGAGGAAGAGTAAGTAAAGCTTAAAAGCACAGAAGAAAGACAGAAATTGACACATGTTTCTTGTTTGAGATAAACTTATCAGTGGTGGCTTTGGATTTTTAAGCATCTAACCTGTTTGGAAGCTCATCTCAGTGAATTAATGTCTGTAATGTTCAGCATCGATAGCAGTGGTGGCTCTGAAGGGTTTGACAGGCAGCTCTGTGTTGAGGTCAAATACTCCTGTGACCCCAGATATTTGAAATACACAGAAAATTCTAGGTCATATTCTGTGAGGCTGGGCCTGTGAGGTAAACACAACTCATGAGGTGACGGGAAGACAAGAAATAAGTGCCATGATTCCAATAACTTGCACAGTTTTAAGGCTTATGGAAGAAGTTATCGCTTTTAGAGGTAATTGTTTTTAGCTCAATTATAGTCTGACTTCATTTTAGGATGTAATACTGCTGTTTGGGAGGCTTTGAGAAGGACACCAAACAGTAACTGCTGAAACAGAAATGCAGTGACGGCAAAAGGAAAAAACAAATGTTTAAAATAAGGATCAACCAGTATGCTGTCTTTCAGCACCGATACCAATAATTAGTAATCAAGGACCATATTTTAAAGTGAGTAAGTATGGAAATCTTGGTGTCAAAATTTAGAATAACACCACCTCCAACAGAGAACTTAATTGAAATGTCTTTTTTCAGTTTTACATGTTTCATGATATGAGAACTTTTCAACTTGTGTCTTTTACTGTTAGTGACATTATTAGTCACACATAACTAGTCAGATGGTGCTGTGGGTGGATATTGTTTGAAAGCACAAAGTGACCTGCTTGAGAACCAAAATAGTGCATTATAAATTAATTTATGTTTATCAGGAATCTGTGAAAATAATAATTATAATTGGAAAAATGCTAAATATTGGATCCAGATCTTGATGCTTCATTGTGGTGTTAAAGTTCCTCTAAATTCATGTGAATGTTTTCAGATGTTATTCCAGTGACCCAGTCAAAGTAAAACTGGATTACTAATATTGGAAGTCACATTTTATTTATTTTACAAGCTAAAACACGTGTGGTTTTCGTTTTAGGATGATGTAACCATTGACCTAAAAATCCACATTTAACTGCTGTTATTTTTTGCTTTTGAACAATAATGGAGTTAAATCTTTTGTCATCACATGTTCAAAAACCAATTTATGCTTCGTAATCCGCCAGTTCACTCCAGATCACGGCTCAAGGTGCACCTCGCCTAATATCTGCTGACATCGCTGTATCCAGCCAAGTCTGCAGAAATTTAGTTGACCTGCCCTGCGAGATGCCTCCACTCAGCAGGTTTCATTTGAGCCGAGCTGCTAAACACAACCGCAAATCACAGTCCAGCTTTATGAGGACAGAGAAGTTTATTGTCTCTATCTAGAAAAATACTCTCATCTCTGAAAAATCTTCTGACCTTTAGGTTTCAAATGCATGCACTTGATGTTTTAAGTGACTTTAGCCCACATGAGGACTTTGGTTGTGTTAGAACTGGACTATTGAGGATTTTTTTTTTTTTTACTGTAACAAGGTCAACACTGCTGAGATTCATCGGCACGTCAGAGGCGGCAATTAGTGAAGAAGGAGCAGGAGGACGCAGAGTAATGCACAGTTTTTTGGAGGCGAGAAATGGACATGAATATATACTGGAGTCATGGTGAACAGACGTGCTATTAATACGCACCAATGCGCTCTCCATCCTCCTGCTCCCCCCTCTGGGTCCCCAACAGGCCACAAGAAAAACTCCCCTTTCAACGCCTCGTCACTCAGCTATAAATACACTGCTCATGGTGTGTGTGTGTGTGTGTGTGTGTGTGTGGAGGGAGTGATATCTCAAAAGCTGATATACATGTTCACATGATAGGAACGAGGAAACATGGAACGTTTTTAGTGCATCGTCTCAAAACTTCTGCTTTTATGTGACAAAGTTGTGTGAAAGGTTTGGCTGAAGGTTCTGAGTGTGGCAACATCAGCAATAAGCCAAAAAATGTGGTGTTCAGTGTTAATTTGTATGATTATGCATTAGGAAGGTGAAGGTGGTAAATAACATACCTGTGAGCTACTAACTGTAAGCCTCCTGACACCTCCATTGTCTCAAGTGCAGCCTTCCAGAGCCCTGATTTATTTTACATTGTCCTACATATTTCTAAATACTGCTATGTATAGACTCCTGTGTTCTCTGATCTTTGTGGCAAAAGGGGAACGTTTCTTTTTTTTTGCTAAAAGTTTAATCCGGCCTTGGTTCTTTCAGCAGCTTTTCAGTGAATCTATTTCAGCATGTAATTTAGAGCAACAATCTCACGTCAAGGTCCATTTCTAAGGATTCAAGGAACTTTATTTGTCACGCCAGCTCACATTCACATGCCATGGCACGAAATAAGTGCTCAGGTCCTGGTTTTTAAGAAAAAGCCTAATAAGTAATAAGTACAATAAACAAGTAATAAGTACAATAAACAAAAAAACAGGAAAAATAAAAATAAGAGCAGAATATAAGTAAAAACACTAAACATATGTGTAGCAGCGAGGTAGACTGTAATATAATATTGCACTTAGGTGTTTAAAATATTGCACATTAACGCATTACGTACTCCTCCTCTGCCCTACTCTCATGGATATTTCCTTTTTTTCCTGAACACTTAATAAAATGCAAAGATGGTTCATTTCACCATGACTGTATAACCCTTGAGTTTAGGGCAGTTCTTAATTTTGCCTTTGTTCCCGCCCCCTTCAGAAAGTCCGGCTGTCAGTCACAGTTCAAATCAGACGACTCTTGGTTAGTTCGGTGTTACATAGAATCTGGGTCAAATCCTTTCTAGGGTGTAAATATGATAGGCTAACTAGTTGTACAGGAGCTTGAGAAATGGCGGAAGTGAATGTCTTTATATCTTAACAGCTTTTATTTTACACCTTTACATTTATAACAACAAAACACAATAAAAGTAGATTTTCACCATATGTGACCTCAAAAGGAATGTGACCCATTTTACAGTTCAAACCTAGAAACAAAAGTCCCTGTGGCACAAAGCAAAAAACAAAAACCCACTTCTTTCACTTTCATATCATGTTAATAAAACTGGTCCAGACAAGCAAATATGGTTCTTTATGATTACACAAGTTGGTTTTCATTAACTCATATGGCACGTCGTCTGATGTCAGTTTGACACATTCCCTGTATTCAGCCTGTCCGATCCAGGGAAAATGCTGATATTCATCATAAGTGTGATATGTCGCAGAAAAAGCAAAGTTGCATTGATTTATGCACAGATATTCATCAACACTTGTTGTGTTTCAAACAGCCTCTCCAGAGAAGTAGAACTAGAGGGCAGGCCTACATTATATGGATAAAGGTGCCTTCATGACTTTTACATTTCCAGCACAAACATTTTTTATAAAGTCAGACAGGCATTGAATACTCCCAGAGGAGTATCTTATAGTGTAGCATAGTATAGAAAGCTTCTTCTTAATTTTGGAAACAGTAGTTGACTAAACAAATCCATAGGGATCACACTACAAGGTCCATGTGTATGAAAAGACTTATTTTTTCTAAGCTTATGAACATCTACAGTACATTCTGATGAAAACTCTGGAAAACTCCTGCTGAGGACGATGATCAAAAACTGGGAAACAGCTACTAAATGGACCCTATACTGGACACTACCCTGCTCAAGGCCAATAATGAACTTTTTATCTAAATAATTTGGACCTGTTTGACGTTGAGAAAAGCCATTATGATGCTGGTTTTAAACTTTTAACCAATATTTCTTGCTGTTTTTTTGTCCTGCAAGTACTCAAATCAGTGCTTACCACTTGTTATAAGAAATGGGTAAATGCTAATGTTAAATTATTGTACATACACAGTCCGAACCCAGTCATTTGTGTTGCAGTCGGGCCGCGTGGATAAGAACTATCCGCTGGTGATCGGCCACTCTGGACCCGTCCTCGACATCGACTGGTGCCCTCATGACGACAACATCCTGGCCAGCTGCTCAGAGGACTGCACTGCAATGGTAATCACCTTGTGTGTGTGTGTGTGTGTGTGTGTGTAAGTGTGTAGGTGTGTGTGTGTGTCTGTTTGTTGAAAAAAATTAATTCTGAGTGGGAGAGAGAAGTTGCAAATGCGATGTGGAGGAGTTTGTTGTTCGGTGACTCAGAAAACAGTCACAGAGTTCGTCACAGTTTGTCGCATCTTCCTGCCTGTTAAGTGAAGAAAATCAGCCAAGGGATCGGTGTGTTTACCTGTGTGATCGTCCACCCACCTGCTCTGCATCATCTCCGTCTCTTTATCAGTCTGTTCATCAGATTTCGCTGTCTGTCTTTAACCAACTTCATCATTGGAGCACACTGGCTCCAACGTGCTTTGTTCCATGCAGCTGTAGACCTACAGGAAGATACAAGCAGCAATACTGAGCAAGTCCTCAGCAGACTTACTTTGCTTATAGTGAGCGTTTTGATATGCATTCAGGCCTTGTGCATAGGTACAGGTTTCCTTCTTCAATGTCAAAAAAATCTCTGTGCACATGAAAACCCCAAAACAAAACTGAAGCAGGAGCATGCTGAACCAACAGGTGGTGATTTAACCCAAACCCTGCAGCCATGTCAGCCAATCAGAAACCTAAAAAACAAAGCTATTACAGGTTCTGATGTAGGCAACCAGCAATGGCCCATCAAAAAAGGAGAATCTTATGTGTGAACAATTTGTTCCTCAATGTGATTTATGTGTAAACACCTACAGTGGCTTCTTAGCGGCACTGTTTTGGCCATGTCCGCCATTACACACCTCATGTGAACAAAGGTGATAATGGCGCGCACTCTGAAAACACAAGAGAAAAACTTTCATCTTAGTGACCTAAAACTGTGTTCGTCTGAGGACAAAGGGACAAAGCACACGTTGTAAACTCCCATATACATGCGGATATGTAATGGATCCGTCGGTGGTGATTATGTTTTACTGTCAGGCGTCTCACACCTACAGCAAGTAAAGTGTTAAAAAGCATTTAAATTACAAGTCAGGTGTGACAATGATGATTGATATTGAATACGGTGGAGCAAAAATAACCACAATAAGAATATTTAAAATATTAATGCGTGCAAACATTGCAGAATAGCTGCAGGATCTTCAACACGCTGTGGAGTTTTGTGCAGAATCATTGTTGCTTAGTTTTGGGCTAAAGAGGACAACAGAAGGTTTCAGAGCTGATGCACTGCAGATGTCTGGAGCTCATGACTGTGTTCAGTCAGCAGAGGTCAGTGTGAAGCCTCGACTGCAGGGCTGGAACTTCATGTTAATTTGTCAAGCTCAAATGAATATTAAGGTCATTCATTGTAAAAACCCAATATGGCAGTTGAAATTTACGGGATATAATCCACCTTAAGTTTTTTGTTTGTGTGGTCTTATATCCTTTGTCTGCCTTAAACTGGTTCAGTGCCGTCAATTACATACTTTCCTTAATGTGCTTCTAATGTAAATGATGGAGGATAAAAATCACAATCCTTTTTCTAAAGTTTATCTTATATAAGACTTCTGCTATTGTAATACTGCACATTACATGAATATCTTCGGAACTTACAGTTTGTTTTCTACAAGTTTCCCTTCAAGTTTACAGCGTTTCATCGCTGATTTGCAGTGGAGGAAAAATAACACAAAGAGTGTCACTGACAAGAGTGTCACTGCTGTCTTAGGAGACATTTGATTATTTGAGAAATCCTCACTAGAAAATGCCCACAAGCTCCCCAAAGGTACAAAATGAGAACCAGTTTTAGTTCGTGATGAGCTGCTCCACTGACACAAATAAAGATTCATGTGTCACAGAACTGTGACAACTTAGAGGATAAACTTGTGGTGATCTACATTAGAGCTGCAGCTAACACTTACTTTGAGTATCAAATAAGCTGGTTACTAAATATTTGTTATCTAGTTCATGAAATGTATGAAATAATATCACATTTTCTTTGAGTCAACAGCCAAAAGTATAAACGATATTTTGCATATACAGTATATTCTATTTTACTCTAACATTTTATTATAGGCTGTTGGTCAGATGAGGCAAAGTGTAATCTGAGTTACAGGCAGTGATATATGATTGTGTTACTTAGGTTCTAGGTGGTGTGTGTGTAACATTTTTAGCTTCTCATTAGTCGCGCGCTATTAAAATCCGGTGTTGAAGTTACAACAGTAATTATACATCAGGAAAACACCGGCAGTGATGTGTGATTTCCAGTTCCATCAGGAAAGTTAATCAAATCTAAGTTTAAAATTCTGGTATGTCAATAAAATCATTTTATGCTATTCCAGGCTTTTATAAATGCTGAATAAATGCTACATAAATTCAAATGTAGCTTATTTTATTTTATTTTTTCATATTTTTTAGGATTAATTGCATTATAACTGTGTCACATATTTCTGAGTTCTCTCTACTTCCAGCCATGGTTGGGCTGTTATATTGCAGGGAAAAATGAGCCCACAAAAATCCAACAGGAGCAAATAAACCCTCAGAAACTACTTGGGGTTCAGAGGGTTAATACATGGATACATTTATTATTATTATTATTTTAAACTTTTGTTCAGTTAATGTGCTACTTAAGTCTATTACATTGGTTTGTGTGTGTGTGTGTGTGTGTGTGTGTTTGTCACATATGTCAGCATGTGTCAGCTATAACATTTTCTTTCGTTGTTTTTACAGAGTGACAGCATGCCTCAACATGTGTGCATCAGTTGTCACTGAGGACAGATTTGCCCACTTGTTCACGGTGACATTGCAGGAATCTTTGTGCGATCTAATGATTGAATCGTTGCTTCTCTTGTGGCAGCAGCTGCTGAGATGCTGTTTGAGTGTTGTGTCTTTGCCCTTATGAATGTGTGTGTGTGTGTGTGTGTGTTTGCCCTTATGTCTTTGTGAGTGTGTGTGCAGGCTTTGTTTATGTCCAGCACACAGATGGACAGTTGCAGCTGTCTTGGCAACGTTGCTGCCGCGGAGCAACAGAAAGGCCAAAACTGTGATGTCATTCTGTTCAGTTCAGAGACTGATCATTGT